CCAATTAGCCACAAACGCTATTATCAAACCAGCCGCAACATTCGTTAGACTTTCCACGATCAAAGCCAACGCATCACCAACTAGACTTTTCACCGAAGATGCATCCGTGGACAATCTTGCTCCAATCGCACCGCTAAAACAAGAAACGCAAAAAATATGAAACTTAGAACATTTTATTTTTAGAATAAATAAGATTTTTGCATGTATATACCTGGAATTGGCGGAATCATCGAACCAACTAATTTCTTGGTGCAAGACTTTGTCAAATGTCATGGACCGGATGCGTCTGATTAGTTTTCCACCAGCAATACCAAAGAAATAGTTCTGAATCGGAACTGCTACCAAATTAACGAAACCGATCAAAACGTAAATGAGCGACCAGTAATGCGCATCTTTCTTTAACTCATCGGGAGTCTCAAATAACATGGTGATGGAGCTTGATAGTAGATAACCAAAGATCGGGTACATAGTGCCATGAACCATTGCAGCCACTGAACCAAGCAATAGAACAGGAGTCTCTGCCTTGTTGAGGTGAGCAAGCCGTCTCAACGACACCTTCTTCCGGCTTCCAACGGTTTTGCTTCCGTAAGAGGTGCTATCTTGATGATATTCATCGTTAAAGTAACTTCTTCAAGAGGTCCTACTCACCGCTGAGAACCTTTGGCTTTCGTTTAGATCAATGATATCTCGAAAAGATTCACATTTCTCTGGTTCTTTTATGTTTCCTCCTTCTTTTGATCCTTCTTGTAAGCGGACAAGCTGTGAATAAGCTCCATCTGGATCTTGAATCATCTCCTCGTGAGTTCCTATGCAAAACATTATAAACCATTTTATAAAAAATGTTATCATTATACATTTCAAAAATTTCGCTAAAGATTTTTACCTTTTTCAACGATTTTGCCTTGGTGCACAACAGCTATCATGTTTGCTGATCTTATGGTGGTTAGCCGGTGAGCCACCACAACGGTGGTTCGATTAGCCATTAGCTTCACTAACGCATCTTGAAAAATATGTTCGGACTCTGCATCTAAAGCGCATGTAGCTTCATCTAGAAGAAGTATTTTAGGGTTTTTCAGTATCGCTCTTGCGATCGCAATCCTCTGTTTCTGTCCGCCAGACAATTGTGTCCCCTTCTCTCCTACCATTGCGTCTAAGCACTAAAATTTACCAAAGAATGTCACTAAACAAAAAGACAAAATATGTTTCTTGAGATGTATTAATTTTCAAGTACCTCTGGGAAAGTATCAATGAATTTAGATGCATTAGCGAGCTCGGTCGCAGTTCTAATCTCATGATCAGTTGCGTTTTCTTTACCATAAGCAATGTTCTCTCTGATTGTGGTTTCGAAGAGTGTTGGTTCTTGGCTAACAAGACCGATCTTGCTTCTGATCCATTTCAGTTTAAGCTTCTTCAAATCATGGCCGTCTAGTAGCACCTCCCCTGACTCAGGATCATAGAATCTTTCAATAAGACCGATCACTGTCGATTTACCGCTCCCGCTCTGTCCCACTAGAGCCACAGTTGTGCCGCTCTGTATAAACAAGGAGAATCCAGCGAAGATCTGCACTTCAGGTCTAGCCGGATACGTGAAGTGCACGTCTCTCAGTTCTATGTCACCTCGAATCTCATCCAAGACCACACCGCTTGTATCATAAGCATCAATCTTTGGCTCCCTTTTGATTGTCTTGAACATTTTGAAAGTTGCGGCTTGTCCTGACGCAAAAGCATTAAGACAAGGAGATGTCTGTCCTAATGACCTACAAAGTGAAGTATGTACAGAATTTAGAGCTTGCTTTTAGGACAAGTTATTACGTGTGAGATGAATGTACTTATGTATATATAGTTATATACTCACATTGCGCCAGAAAGGACAGCAAAAATCACGTTTATGACTTGACCACCATCGTAACCTTTCTCTATTATCAGCTTGGCACCGTACCAAACCGCGAAACCGTAGCTAGAGAAGGTCACAAACAACGTCACCCCAAGCCCTAGACCCGAGATCAACCCTTGTTTAACCGTAGTCTTATATGCAATGTCGAGCTTTTCATTGTATTTTTCTATCGCTTGTTTCTCCCCCGTGAATGCCACCACCTAAGATACATTATATTAGTTATTGAGACGAAACCAATATTGAAACGCAAGAATTTCAGTGGCGATAACTTACTGTTCTGATTCCTCCAATGGCCTGTTCAACCACGTTACCCGCTTCCGCATAAGCGGCTTGTCCATCACCAACAACTTTGGACATGGTTAGTGCCATTGTTGCACCTACGGTACGATCAGAGGGATGCATACCAGAAGAATTAGAGTGAGCTCCCATCCTCTTATAAAAGCCACCACGAATCCACCAAAGAACGTTGCCATGAGCTGTAGGAATTTTCCGACTTTTTCTCCCATGGCATCTTGAATTAAAACGGTGTCTCCAGACATTCTTCCGATGACTTCTCCTGTGCTTGTCTCGGTGTCGAAGAATTCTATGTCTTGTCTTAATATCGTCTTAAGGTATAGACTGCGAATTCTGGTGGATTGACGCTCTCCAGTAACCACCCAGCATGAGACCTCTACATAAGAACCAAAAAGGTATACGTTAGCTTGGATCACGAGGTAGGGTAAATGTGAGGACAAACAAATGAGAGCAAGTGTAGACTTACGTAGGAAGGAGAAGAGACATGCATAAGCCGCAAGGTAAAGAATCTTCACTGCAATCTAATTTTTTTTTACCAGTAAAAGTAACATAAGAGTAGTAAATTAGTAGTGAATACAGTAACAAACAGCATAAAATAAGAGTAGACTGAAAGATCATGCATGCGGAATTTAAATAATGCTATAGTGACGTTATTTATTTTTAACAGAGTAACAAACTGTTTCTAACTAGAGAAAGCATTTGGGAGATGTTCACGTTAAATATTTAAACTAAAGGTATGACAAACTAAAGAACAAGTTTTAAAATAATGTCAAGAAAGGAAAAGAAAAAGAAAATAGATATGATTTGAAAGGAAGAACAAATATTTCTTCCAAATTAAAAAGAAATATTTTGCTTTAACAAAAAAAAAATGTTTTGAAAACAGCAGAAGATAAAACTAAAAGTACGTTTTCATACAAATTATTTGTATATAAATGCTTATAAGGTAAGTATTTACAAGAAAATATACAAAGAAATGACATGAAGAAATTTTTTTGATTTGTTTCCTTGTAAAAAATATATATTTGACTAAGAAGCTGGAAAACATGAACATAATCAAGAAAAACGGAAATTAAAAAAGGACGAGAAAAATACAACTAAACATTTTGATGATTCATGTACAACTAAACTATAAAAAAAGACTAAAAAAGGAAAAAAAATATATAATCATTTTGATGATTCATGTACTAAACTATAAAAAAGAAAGGACTAAAATTAAAAATAAAAAGACTAAAAAGAAAATAATAATAATATGGATTTTTGTTCCGAAAAGAAAGATAACTAATATGGATTTACCCTTCCTAGAATACACATATACATTGAATATCTATGTATATATGACTATGATGATAGTTCAATCAATCAATATGATGATAAGTTCCGTTCTGATAATGGAACAAAAGTTTGATAAACGTTTATGAAATGTAACTTAAATCCAGTAATAACTAAGTTAAACGATTCATAAATCAAACAGGCCAATTTTGATACATTATTTCAACTCACTAACCCAATATGAACAAAAACAAGTTAAGAATTCTAACCTTGGAGACTTCTTTAAAAATGTCAAAAGAGCCAAATGCGTTGACGATCTGGCCAAATAATAGAGTCAAAAGCGGCTGAGTCAGGCCGTTGGCCACGGCGGAGATGGTCCCGACGGTCATCAAGCCAATGTCCTTTCTGTCAGCAAACGAGAAAAGCTTGTAAAACGGCACTTTTTCATCCTTCACTTTGCTCCTCTTTCTTTTCTCTCCCTCCATTGCTTCCCTCTCATCTTCTTTTAAAATATCTATCTTGTCTTCCTCCATAGTATTTATTTCTCAGTAAAACAAAGAATTTATGAATAACTGTGGATGGTTTTTTTCTTTCTTTCTGTCAAATAAAAAATCGAAACTTTTTTCTTTCTGTCAAATAAAAAATCGAAACTTTCACTACTGAAAGGACCATCCACCTCTGCCACCTATATAATCATCACAAGGCATGAATGTTTTTCTTTCCTTTTTAAAGAATACGTAATTAAAAATCTTATTATATAAAGTTGGATGCGCACGATGTGGTTTCGACACGTAGAATTTTTATAATTTATAAAATCGTGACATGTGTCATTATTAATTATGAAAATATTAAGATCGTGACATGTGTCATGTAATTAAAAAATAAAATAATATACCTATATAATACCAACAAAAAATCAAACAATTAAAAATAAAAATATTACATCTATTAGGAAAAGCAAAGAAAAAACATAATCCTATTATGAAAAGGAAAAAAACGAAAATCAGAAAAATATGAAAAAAAAATAATTAAAAAAATGTCACTTTCACTAAGAAAATGAATAAAAAATATATTTCCATTACGAAAAAAAAAAATATTTAAACAAGCTGTATTTTGTTTAAATTTCTCTCTCATTACGAAATAAAAAATGATGTCTTTAAAAGTTCAAGATGTCAATGAAGAATATTTAACTTTAGATCTATGGATTGAAATCAAAATGACTATTGCTACATGTGTCTAATATTTAATTAGATGATAACATATAGGTTAACACAAGAAAATTAGAAAAATGTAATAACAGAAATATAAAAAAACTAATAAAATAATTGTAAAACAACTAAGTAATAATGAAAATAAAAATTTATAATGGTCAGAGGCAAAAAAAAATGAAAAAAACAATACAAATAGAAAACTAAGAAAATAATTATCAAGGAACTAAATAATCTTAAAAAGAAATTTGTATAATGGACCGATCTTCAAATATTAAATAGTTTAATTTTTTTTTGAAAATCTTTATTTTTATTTTTTTGTTAGGTAAAACAATATTAAAAATAAAGATTTCATCAATTGAAATCTCTTAAATGGAATAATCAAAGTTTCATGAATTAATGAGTCGATTAGATTTAGACATGTCTGAATCTTTCTAATTTAGATAAAAATAAAGGGATAACAAATTAATTTATTTTTCATATCATGAATTCAAAATAAAAATGTAAAAGGATTACATATTTTATTTTATTAAGAGAAATGTTATTTCAAAAATCGTAAAATAAACTCGCGTATACGCGGGGCCTAATCTAGTGTTAGTGTTTAGATAAAGTTGGAGATAATTTACCAAACATATATATTCCGATCAAAAGAATATTAGGCCCATTATTATTTGTTCTTAAAGGCTTTGCAGTAAAGGGATAATTAGCCAAAACAGCGTTTATGAATGTTTGTGTTTACTTTGACAATTCATTTGATTTATGTACATCTTATAATTATGCGACTTGAATTCATTTATGTTTTAAAACACTAATCAACATTAGCATTGGGCTAACGAGTCAACAATGATATAGGAGTGACATACAAACTAGCAAAGCTTAAAGATGAATAGATATCGATAGGATATAAGCAATATGGAACCAGAAGCTGTGACCTCTCAAGTCTCAAACCCACTGATGTTAACTTGAGCTTGGAGCTTTTAAAACCGATTTTCAATCCCAAACTTGATCATTCTAAACCCGGTACTAATTTCTGGTCGTTCCATTTGTCCAACCTCTTCCTAGATTCCTCCACCTGAATTATATAACATTCATGAAAAAATTGCATCTAGGAAATTCAAATTATTATAACTTTATCAGCTGCATCAAATGATTGTTACCTCTTTTCTCCAGTCCGTACTAAACGTGACCCACCCCAAAATAATTGTTTGTACGACCGTGGCACATATCATTCCCGTCCATATACCCTGCAACATTCACAATTTAAACAAAAGAAAAAACATAAGTACAACCATTAATCTATAATATTTTTCATTGCAAGAATCATTCGATAAAGACAAAAACCATATGCTAAATGAAACCAAAGCTAGAAGAATATTTTACCTTAGCACCGAACTCGAAGTAAAACCCAAAAAGAGCCCCAATTGGTATACCAAACATGTAGTAACACGCAACATTAACTTTCGCCACGAATGTTTGCCATCCGCATCCAACCGCCACACCTTTGATGTTATCAGAAAGAAAAAAAAACTATTATATCATTCAAACTATATTAGCTTTATTATAATATGAAATTATGGTACTACAAAGATAATGTTTACCAGAAAGAACAGGTTGGATTCCATTGAGGATAATTGTAAAGGCAAGAAGCGGGCATAGCTCAGAAACAGCCTCCGCGACCGTTTCTCCCTCGGTGAATGCATAGCTCAACACATTGCGGCACGCTAAAATGGTGATGGCGAAGATTATGGAAATGATTAACGAATATACGTTGACGACCATAACTGAAAATGCAGCAGATTTAGGGTTTCCAGCTCCAATTTCATTGCTCACTCTTACACTGAAATTAAGATAATTACAACATTTTTTCAACAGCACAACTAATATGCAAAAAAATTGGGGTCTAGTCATGAAGAGACATGACACGTTCCTTATTGCAGCATTAAATCCAATAGCTATCGTGTAACTCCAGCTTGCCAGCGTCATGCTACAATCCAAACCAAAGGGGAAAAAGTGTGTAAAATTATTAGTTATACATTTATTCATGAACATAAAATTTTATAATAATATTTATAGTTTTTTTCATTGTAAGGATTACTAGTATTAATTATATATTATTAATTCATTTTTATTAAATAAAATAAATTGGTTCATAATAAATATTTGAATCAAGTTTATGTACTAATGATGTTTTTTAGACTATTCATGATCATATGCCCTCGTAGTTGTCTTACACATTAATATATTCCAAGCAAAATAAAGTAGAAAATTATCAGAACTAATAATCAGTGATTGAATTGTACGTATCCTACTACCCTTTAACCAAGTCGACAAAAAGAAAATGGTGCGATTGCGAATTGTAACTCTGACGGCTGAAGTACAAGATTCCTTTCTGAATTAAACAAAATGATTGCATGTGAGCATTAGAGTTTCGAAATAAACTAACGTGATTTGATCGTTTTCACTTTCAAATTTCAATTAATTTAAAGCAAAACTAAAATAAAACTGAGAATTCGACGCTTACTTAAGCGTAACCTTAATGCCACGTGGCAGCTCACGATTCGTTAGGTGAAAATGAGAAGAAAAAAAAAACCCTCGCTCCCGTTCACTTTCCCTTCTCTCTGTTTTCTCTCTCTTTCCTGTCTCCGATGGCGATTCACCGGTTGCCGATTTTGTTCTTCGCTCGCCTTCAGGTACTGTTTTCATGGCTTAAAATGTATGATAATTCTCTGGTTTCAGTAAAATTTTCAGTGGGGAACGAAAATTATTTTGCTGGGTAATTCAGGTTTTGATAGTCTCTTCTTATTCCTCAGGAATTTTCCTCAGCTCTGTTGATTCATGCTTCAGAATCAGAATTAAAGCAAAAAGTTAAGTGTTGCTTTTTTTTTTTCTTTTTTTGGTTTTCAATTACTATGATCATCCCAGTAAATAATTGTGTCTGTAATCAGCTAATTTTGTTCTGTGGCTATGCAGTTACTTTGATTCACTCATAAAAATGGCGACTGGAGTATTTCCAGCTCCGTTTTCTGGGGTCAAGGGCCCGAATTCGAAACTCGGATTCTCAAAAAGCATGAATTTTGTGAAAATTTGTGATTTGAGAAGTCTAAGAAGGAAGGAAGCCTTCTCTTAGGTATATGATATATGCATTTAGATTCTCATTTTCAACCTTTCGTGTTGTTTGAAGTGACTGATTGATTGTATGTAATATTGGTTTTTGTAGTGCCAAGACAGAAAATGTTGTGAATCATTGCATAAGACAGTGAGAAGGAAGACGCCTACTGTTATGGTTGGAAATGTCGCTCTCGGAAGCGACCATCCGATAAGGATTCAAACGATGACTACATCAGATACTAATGATGTTGCTGGAACTGTTGAAGAGGTTTTTTGCATCTCTCCCTAAAATCTATTTGAAGTTTTGAAGATATTGCTTTGTTAAACATATCTGTTGTTGGTTCTGTGATTGGAGGTTATGAGAATAGCATATAGAGGAGCAGATATTGTGAGGATCACTGTTCAAGGGAAGAAAGAAGTCGATGCATGCTTTGAAATCAAAGATAAACTTGTTCAGCTTAAGTAAGTCTCCATGGCCGTATTGAGTTTATGATATAATAGGTATGAAACTGAATGGGTGTATTGCATGTGGCTTTACAGTTACAATATGGGGTTTAAATATCGCGTTTGTTCGATTCTTAGAGAGGTAAAGTGTTTAGAGTCTCAGATAGATCATAGATCATCTCCAAGATCATGTGTAGAAACAGCATCATCATCTTCATTAGGTTGTGAGATTGGTGAAGATAGAGAAGAAGAAGATTCAAGTAATTTACCTGTTTCCAAGTTGATAAAGAGTCATGGATCAATCATTATAATTATTTGTGAACACTTTGGATTTGATCATAGTAAACTGTGAAAAATTGCAGGTTGATCTTCTTGGGGATCAAGTCGATTCGCTAGTGAAGCTTCTCCAGAAAATCTGTTGGACATTCCATCAATATCCATTGCTTCTCTGCAATCACTCGTATGTAAGTTAACCTCTTTGTTTAAGCAAAATTTAACCGGTTCGCAAGTACAATAAGCGAAATGACGCAGGAGAAGATATCTTATTAATCAATTGAATATCGAGTTACAATAAGTCAATATAAAAGATTATACTAAGAGAATCTCGTCTGTCGCTCGTCGTAGATCGTAGTTCATTGTATCTAGGTTGTTCGTCGCTTGCTCGTCGAGAGGCGAAGAACAAGTAGCTATTAGGGTTTTTTGTGTGTTTTTCTGAATGTGTCTCTTAGTTCTAGGACCTCTTATTTATAGGTGTTCGTCGGTCCTAGTCCTTATCGAGTTGGGCTTTGACGTCGATCGTATCTTTCTATTTTCTATGTCGGTCGTCACTCCTAATTTCCTTTTAATTAGAAGTGCACGTCGGTCTTCTACACAACTCCAATAGATTTAGGAAATTGTACAAACCATTGGTCATTGCTAAACCATTAATTAACATCGTTGGTCGCTGCCTCGTCATGTCGATGCTAAGGCCTTTTAGACACTAAAAAGTAAGATCGACCGGTCGTCATGGTCGTCAGTCGATCATATCTCCAGCTTATAATAGAGTTTAAGGAGCGACCGACTAGTGAATTTATTTCACCCAACAACTTGCCCCCTACTCTTCTACTTCTTTTTAGAATTTGTAGAGTAATATTTCAACTGCATATTGTCGGTCGCTGTTCGATAATTGCCATTTATGACTGTAGATTATGTAGATCTTTCCATAACGTCGACACTCCATTTTTGTTCAAGTTGACGCCATCGACCGCGGTCCCAGAAAAGGTACACAAGGACATGCGAATGAATTCAATAATTAAATGCATTAAAAGAATTGGAGACACAGACATACCATTCTCCCCATTTTTATGTTGCTCACGTTATTTTTTAAAAAAAGAGTCCACATACTTTTATGATTTCGCATGCACCTCTCCTTTCCTCTTTTACTTCTCTCCTCTGTCCATTGACCAAATGAAGGAGCAGCGACAAACACTTCCTTATTTAATTCCATGAAAATAATAAAGAAAGATTAGGACATACATATTTTAATATTAATATAGGGCTGGTTAAAAAGGGAAATGGACAAACATCTTTCTCCAATGGATCTTGAGCCATGAACGTCCTTCCTCATTAATTATGCAGTGGTGTTGGTCATTCACGTGAGAAATAACCAACAACATTGCTTGTGTCTCCTTCTTTTTCTCTTAAATAGTCGAGCTTCATATTCCAATCTAAAATACAGAGTAATTTCTTCAAATCGTCAGTCGCTGCTCGACAATGTTGTTTGGTACCTTGATCATTTCCCAATGTAGACGTTATTTACTTCTTTTGTATGTCGCTCTTTTGTCACCTTTTGTCTTGGTCTTATACGACCTAATAAAAATCAGCAAGAACAAACACATTTTATATGTTTGCCTTTACTTGATCGCTCGAAAGTATGTACTTGCCGTGCAACAACAAAGATATATTGACCTCATGGATCTTATATCAAAGGTGCGCAAGGACATACACACATAATAGGAGATGCAATGACAAGGATGTTGCCCCCTTTTGGATTTGACCACAATGAATTTATAGGCCATGGCTCATCTATTGTTGAGCATCGACTATTTCAGAACTTGCTTTCTCAGTGGATAAACAGTTACTTGATTGTGAGGGTTTTATCCCTTAATTTATTATCATATTTTGATGAGGACGTACCTCTTGATTTAGTAATGTTGTCACAGATTAAGGAACGTACCTCTTCATTTGTTAGCTAATGATTTATGATCATAACATTTGCCCCTTTGTTAATCAAAGAGCGATGTGCATCATAGTCTATGGAGGTCGTACCTCTAACTTATTTGTTAGCGACTGTCGTTGATATCTATTGAGTACGTACCTCTTTATTTATCATATCATGACTTATCATGGTGAGGTTGTACCTCTTAATTTGTTAGCGACTGTTGTCACTGTATATTGAGGACATGCCTCTCTATCTATTTGCTTATGACTTGTTGTCACAGCATGTGGAGGTCGTACCTCTAAATCAATTATTAGCGATTGTCATCGCTCTTACTTATATTGAGTATATGACTCTTTATGACTTGTCGTCATAACATGTGGAGGTCGTACCTCTAAATTAGTTATCAGCGACTATCGTCGATGTCGATATACATTGAGTACATGACTCTTATCTTCCTAGTGACCATGGTCAATTTGCTCATGAGGCATTGCCCTTAGTTTTTTTTTGAAGAAACGTCGATCGTCGTTGCTGCTCTATCATGAGGAGGCAATGCCTTTTTTTTTTTTTTTTTTACTGTCGTTTGTCATAAGCAGTGCAATGACTGTCGCTCGTCACTAGTTGTGGATACAACGTCGATATTAAAGCGAGTGACGAACATAATCTGAGAATTCTTAAATACTCATATGTAGAAAAACCTTTTATTAAGAAGTTCGTCCGTAGACATGCGCGAAGTAAAGAAAAACAATTGAAAGCAGAGACATCTCGTGGATCGTCTATGACTATGACAATAACGAAATAAATAAAACCAAAACACTGAAAGCCAAACTAACCTAGAAGAGGTAGGTTTCGAGGTTCGTTTCATCAAGATCTTTTTCGTCAGTGGATCTCACAGAGTTGTTCCACCTCTGCTTCTTTGGTATGTGGAATCGACGATTGGATCTCTAGTTGATATAGCTCATGACCTTTCCCTTTTAGGGTAGTTTGGTAGCATGAACGTGCATGCTCTTGTTCTCCCTTGATCTCTTTGACTCCCCATGGAGTAGGAAATTTTATGGTTTGATGGAGTGTCGATGGCACTGCCCCCATGTCATGAATCCAGGGACGTCCCATAATTGCGTTGTACGCAGTAGCACAATCTAGTATCAGAAACTTTGTCTGTCGGTTAATTCCTCCTGCATACACAGGCAGCGTCACTTCTCCTATGGTCTGCTTTACTTCACCGCTAAATCCTACCAGTGGTGTGGATTTTCGCGTCAGTGCATTCTCATCCAGCCCTAATCCTTTGTAAGCATCCATGAAGAGAATGTTGGTCGAACTCCCATTATCAACGAGTGTCCTTTTCATCAGACTATTAGCGATTGTCAAAGATATGACTAATGCATCATGATGTGGAGCTAGGACACACTTATCTTCATCTGAAGCAAAGCTAATCGTGCACTTCGACAGTCGCTCGCATATAGCTTTGACATCTCCATGATGAGTTCTAGCTATTCTAGTACTCTTTTTAGCAGCAGAATGAGTAATTCCACTAACCTCTGATCCTCCCGATATCACGTTGATGATTCGATCATGCTTGGAGATTGAGCAGGGAGATGGTTTTCTTTGCACCTCGTCATTGCTTCTGTCGTCGATGCGACTCCTAGCCCTGTCGGACAAGTATTCTCTCAAGTGACCTTTTTTCAGTAGCTCGTTTACTTCCATTCTCAACGTGATGCAATCTTCTGTTCTATGACCATGGTCAGAGTGAAAGTCGCACCACTTTGATGTGTCTCTTCGTTCCCCTGGTGCCTTCATCTTTTGAGGCCATCTTACTCCAGATATATGATTAAGAACATTGACTAGTTCTGCAGGAGATATTGCGAGGTTACTCATGTCTGGCCATGTGGATGATGAGCGTTGGTCGCTCTCAATTTGGTTGAGTGGTCGATGGTCGCTTCTGCTGTCGCTTCTCTTGCTAGTGCTTTCACTGCGTGGTCTCTGGTACGGTCTGTCATCTCGAGAGGGACGCTCGTTCCTAACAACGCGCGAATCAGATCGTGGGGAAAGTAGGTGTCGATATGCAGGTCTTCCTCCCACCTTATTTGAGCCCATGCTCTAGATAGCACATCTTCCATCGTTCTGCACTGGTACTTCGTCAGTTCCTTGTACAAATCACTGTCTGGGAGTAATCCTCTTTTGAATGCAGAGATGGCAGTGGACGTGACACATGCCGGAATGGATACTTTCTCTTTGTTGAAGCGACCTACGTAATCGCGCAACGGTTCTCCTCTCTTCTGTATCACTTCATAGAGATCGTCGGCTGTCCTTTCTATGTTCCTGCTGCTCGCGAATTGCTCAACAAAGCGGTCTGTCAATGACGCGAACGAGTCGATTGACGCGTTCGGTAGGTTCGTAAACCACTGAAGAGCTGGTCCCGTGAGGCTAGATCCAAATCCTTTACACATACTAGCTTCGCGATATTCTTTTGCTATTGCCGTTGTGAACATGCGTTGCTTGTACTGGGCTATATGATTATCAGGGTCGGTCGTCCCGTCGTACATCTTCATTGAAGGGACGATGAACTTCTTTGGCATCTCAACCAAAGCGATGGCATCCGTGAAGGGAGTGTCTGCATAGCAATTAGGAGCACTTTTGGTGATTGGAGGAGCTACTCCTGGAAGTCGCGCGAGCAAGAGCTCCATAGCCTCCAATCGCTTTGAGAACATAGTATGAGTCTTCAGATTGATGTTCCATCGTTGGTGCAAGGGGTGGAACCAATGTTTGGTTACCTTGCGCAGCGTCGGTAGCTCCTGCTCCTAGGGCTGCTCCTGTTGCACCGTAAGTGGTGGAGTGTCGAACGATTGCATAGGAGGAACCGGTTCTCGATATCTATTGCGAGCCTGACCAATGACGCGTTTTCTGCTCGTAGGGTTGCGTTCTCCGCCTGGATTTGCGCAAGTCGTTCTTCGTTCTGCTTCATCTGAGCTGTGAGAGCCTCCAGCTGAGCAACGGTGACGGTCGGTGTTTCGGTCGGTGTGGTATCATCTCCCGCCGCCATGTCTCACGCAGTTAAAATTGCCCCTCCTTCTAGCGCCAAACTGTTTGGGCAAAATTTAACCGGTTCGCAAGTACAATAAACGGAATGACGCAGGAGAAGATATCTTATTAATCAATTGAATATCGAGCTACAACAAGTCAATATCAAAGATTAAACTAAGAGAATCTCGTCTGTCGCTCGTCGTAGATCGTAGTTCGTCGTATCTAGGTTGTTCGTCGCTTGCTCGTCGAGAGGCGAAGAACAAGTAGCTATTAGGGTTTTTGTGTGTTTTTCTGAATGTGTCTCTTGGTTCTAGGACCTCTTATTTATAGGTGTTCGTCGGTCCTAGTCCTTATCGAGTTGGGCTTTGACGTCGATCGTAACTTTCTATTTCCTACGTCGGTCGTCATTCCTAATTTCCTTTTAATTAGAAGTGCACGTCGGTCCTCTACAACTCCAATAGATTTAGGAAATTGTACAAACCATTGGTTATTGCTAAACCATTAATTAACATCGTTGGTCGCTGCCTCGTCATGTCGATGCTAAGGCCTTTTAGACACTAAGAAGTAAGATCGACCGGTGTCATGTCGTCAGTCGATCATATCTCCAGCTTATAATAGAGTTTAAGGAGCGACCGACTAGTGAATTTATTTCACCCAACACTCTTTAATTTTCATGTAGATTGTTCACAAGTAATCACTATGTAGAAATTTGTATCTTCTTTTGTTTTGTTTTTTTTTTCAGATATTGAGATCTCAAAGATGATCAAGAAAGAGTTTATCACTTGAGGATTGAAGATCAAATTGATTTTGTTTCTTGCGTTAAATTCTTCTTACTACTATATGGAGAAATAAAAGCTTTACGAATAACCTTTTTTTTTTCCTTAAGCACCCCCCAATAAGATTCCTCCATTGGAGGAGAGAAAACAAAAAGAATTTGAACAAGGTGCTTATTACCATTTTAATAATAAAATATATGATAATCATCTCATAAGCACCTTTGCGTTAAACATACTCTGATCACCTACTCCAGATCTAAAACGCAGTATAACAAAAAAAAATTCTTTCTCTATTACCAATTAAAGTCATTTGGATATAGACCACCTATACTGTATATATATTTTTTTTTGCTTAATAGATTACATAATACCTACTATGTTGAATATAGTTGTCTATTGGTAAAAATGTAAAAACAGTTATATGATCATTTGAAATTACTCAACAGAAGAGTCTTATCACCATATAATCATAAATATTCTATTAATAATTGACGAAGTACTAAATTTACGTGTTTTTCCTTTTACCTTTTAGTATCACATTTTGCATGATATTAGTTGCAAATCATAAGGTGCTAATTAGGTCAGATATTCTTGGAGTTCATAATTCATAAACGCCTATAATCTTGTTTTGCTTTCGGTTTTAAACCAATTGAAGTGTAGAAAAATATAGATCGGTTTAGTAAATTTTACCAGATGGAGAGAGCATCAAGAGCGAGTTCAGGATTCTCTAGCCGTCCGGCAAGTAGAACCAAAACCTGAAAATACCATGCTTGTAGGCAGAGAATCACGGCGGAGGCGGCAGAGAGTTTGAAGAAACCGCCGAGTCCTGAGAATGCCCGGGTATTAAACCCACGCCACGTGTCACGACACTGCTTGTTAGAGCAGAAATTAGCACAATTTCCCTGAGCCCGTCACAATTAATAATACTATGTAAGCCCGGCCCGCTTCCACTTCCACCTCCTCAAAGAAAAGGAAGTACTTGGAGAAAAAGACTACATCCAAGAAAAATAGAAGGAGATCAACGCCAAAGAAGAATATTTCCAAAAGAAATATGGAAGAATATCTTGAAGAAGCCAACCTCCTCTCCATATAAATAGAAGACCCCCTATTCCTTGAAGATCATCCATAAATCATCACAATCACTCCAGAAGAGCAGAAAACCCTAGTTATAATTCGTCCTTTGTTCTTAGCTTCTCTATTCTTTTCGTATTCGTCTCGTCAACCTTGTCGTCGAGACGAATCACCCCTTGTACCATCTTTGTCTTTGGTTGATCTAATAAAGAGTCTCTCCTAAACCTCACATCTCTTATCTTACTATTACTGTGTGATTTTGAGATCTAACAATTGGCGCCCACCGTGGGGCTGGAGAAAAAACTCTGAAAAAAGTCAATCAAGGTTCAAAGATGGCACCTCCAGCTGATGATCCCAGCATCAGAACAGGCGGACTGCAAAGTCAACTCGGCGCAGATGGAAACCCCATCGTCCATCCCGTCGAAGTCGACGCGACCAACGGTCACGTCAACCCTCCGCCGCCACCGGTTCCTGACGTAGAAGCTCCCGTCACGACCGCCGCGTTAACCGCCGCCATGCAAGGCTTTGCTGCTCAAATTGCTTCTCAATTCGCCGAGATGCAAGCTCAGCAGCAAAAGTACAACGACAAGATCGACTCCCTCCACGTCACCAGCGACGGACGAGTCATCCCGACGGGACGAACTCTCTTCCAGACGCCGACAAGAAGCACCGCCGCGACTGGCTCCAATGCCGCGACGAATGGTGAGAAAGACACCGACCCGGAAGTGGCCAAGCTGCGCCGCGACCTCGACGCAATCAGCTCCAAAGTGCACGACGCTATCAGCTCGTCACCCGAGATTGCCAAAATCCTCGCCGAGACGAAAAGGAGTCCTTTCACTCGTCGCATCGCCGCGATACCTCTAAAGGATCAAACGGCTCTCCGTCTTCAGTTCTACAACAATGGTGACGATCCTCGAAACTGGCTAAGAAACTTCGAGATGGCCATGAGAAGGCAAAATATGCCTCCCCCGAAGAACAAGACGCAAACTACTGTCAAGTGTTCATCGAGCACATGAACAAAGACGCGACGAGCTGGTTTTCGAACCTCCCTGCCGAGACCATCGACAACTTTGATGATCTCAGCACGGCATTCATGAAACACTTTGGCATGTTTATGTCAAAAGGCAGCACCAATCTTTTCACTATGGCACAGGGAAAAGATGAGTCTCTTCGCAAGTTCGTCGAGAGATTCAAAACAGCAGCAGCTGAGCACTCAGACATCCCTGACGCGATAGGAATCAAAGCTTTCGAAAACGGGCTTTGGTTCGAATCAAAGTTGAAAGAGAGTCTGATGCTCGACGAACCCGCAACCCTCCAGGACGCTTTGCACAGTCCCAAAAATACGTCTGCGTTGAAGAAAGCAAGGCGCACCACTCAAAGATTCATGGAATGACGAAGGATCATCTCACGCATCATCTCGTCAAGAGTCATCTCGTCAAGAGAATAAAAGGAGGCCTCTAAGGAGTCTTTACACAGGCAGCGAGAGTCCAAATGGTGCAAACTCCATGGACGAACCGATCATACTACAGAAGAATGTAGGCACATCAACAGCATGATACTAGAGTACGCAATACTCCGCAAAGCCAAATGATGCTGAACGCCGCGACGAAAATCGACGAGCTGCAAACCAGCGCCAAAGTAGAAATACGACGCGCCAAGATCGAGACGACGACGCCGAGAAGAACGCGCCTGCATCACTCCCTCACCAAGATGATCTGCCTCCGCCGCCAAAACGGCAAGTCCGATAAACATCTCGGCATCAAACCGGTCTCAAGCACGAGACCGAGAAAACGAACTACGAATGGCTTGATCCCGGCATGGGTACGTAGGCAGCCTTTCCAAAGGTTCAGCTATACCCCAATAAAATTCTATAATCCGTCTGACGAGATGAGCATTGTAAAATTTTATTCACCTCCAAAGGGCACACGTCGACGTTCTGGCCAAACCTCTCGACAACACCGATCTCGTCATCACACGAATCGAGCGGTCTCGTCATCACACGAGCCCGAGAAACACCGATCTCGTCATCATATACGAAATCGAGCGGTCTCGTCATCACACGAGCCCGATAAGACACCGATCTCGTCATCATATACGAAATCGAGCGGTCTCGTCATCACACGAGCCCGAGAAGACACCGATCTCGTCATCATATACGAGATCGAGCGGTCTCGTCATCACACGAGCCCGATAAAACCAATCTCGTCGAAGCTCGAATCCGAGAAAAATCGTCACAGCAATCTATTCTCCTTGACGAGACAAAAGAGTCATCTCGTCAAGTCCGAGAGAAATTATCAAAAGCATATTCTATTTGCGGACAAGATTACGTCACTGTACTCTTTTCCCTTCTTATGGTTTTTATCCCATAGGGTTTTTCCATATCAAGGTTTTAACGAGGCAGTACGGATCTAAAGTCAATAACGCAACGCAGCATCACGTCAGCGCAGCATCGCGACAGCATCGGCATCGCGTCGGCATCACATAGTTATTATTAATTGCTCTTGAGCTCCTCTTTTATACATGAAGTTCGCCGAGATTAAATTGCATTTATCTCGCCAAACTGGGGGGGACTTATTGTTAGAGCAGAAATTAGCACAATTTCCCTGAGCCCGTCACAATTAATAATACTATGTAAGCCCGGCCCGCTTCCACTTCCACCTCCTCAAAGAAAAGGAAGTACTTGGAGAAAAAGACTACATCCAAGAAAAATAGAAGGAGATCAACGCCAAAGAAGAATATTTCCAAAAGAAATATGGAAGAATATCTTGAAGAAGCCAACCTCCTCTCCATATAAATAGAAGACCCCCCTATTCCTTGAAGATCATCCAGAAATTATCCACAATCACTCCAAAGTATTCAGGCAAAACCCTAGTTATAATTCGTCTTTGTTCTTAGCTTCTCTATTCTTTTCGTATTCGTCTCGTCAAAGCTTGTCGTCGAGACGAATCACCCCTTGTACCATCTTTGTCTTTGGTTGATCTAATAAAGAGTTTCTCCTAAACCTCACATCTCTTATCTTACTATTACTGTGTGATTTTGAGATTCAAAACTGCTCGCTCCTCACGATGTATACAAACTGAGCAACCACCATGATCCACCACGAGAGGCTGAGCATGAGCGACGCTCCCAGCAGCCCCATCCAGACCTTGTAAACCGCCACCCAGCTTAAACACACGTGGAGGAACAGGGTGGCGGTTGAGATGCACGCGCTCGGTGCGACGATGCTCTGCCACTGGAGGAATTTCTGGATGGGGAAGTTCACCGCGTAGGCGAAGATTTGTGGGATTAGTCCGTTTACGAAGAGAGAAGCCGCCGACGCGATATCCGGCGATTGACCGAGGAAGAGGAGGATATGCTTGCTGAAAACGTATATTACGGTGAGGAAGACGCCGGAGATGGTGAGCAACACGGTGGATCTCTGTGCGTACACGCCAAGCATCTCGAGTCTCTTCCCGCCGTAGGCTTGACCGCATAAAGTCTCCACCGCACTTCCCATTCCTAGCATGAGGCCGTAACAGAAGCTTTGGATTCCGTTGTTGCCGAGATATGCGCCGGCGAGCTCGAGGTTCCCAAGGTGGCCGGCGAATATCTGAGTAGACATGGACATGAGGTAATTGACCATGTAGCTAAGAACGGTGGGGCCTACGAGCTGGAAGAGAAGCTTCGACTCAATCACAACGGCCGTAACCATGCGGCGGAGCAGAGGTCTCCGGGAATCTAAAAGCACACTCTCCAGCACACCGATGCTAGATTTCGACGACGGCGAGCTCTCAGGCTGGAGTAATGGATGCTGGTGTACGTCGTCGTCGTACGAAGAGCCCATGACGCTAAATATGTTTTGTTTTCTGCCTTTTAGTGGGAGAGCAAAGTGGTAATATATATGTTCAAATTAATTTTTAGAACCTCTCATGCATTCGATAAACTAGAGAAATGACATGCTCGGGATCTACTAGTGAGAAACCCATACATATAAGTTATATATATATATAATTTTTTTTTTTTTTTTTTTTTTTTTTTTTTGTGTGAGAAACTCATCATATAAATTGGAGCGAAACTATAACGATCATAAGTAAGTTATCAATTTAAAATCTAAATATTTTTATTATTTGAATAATGTGGATCATAAGCTTGTGGTACCTCTCTAGCTAATATATTTATTGTTTTATTTTTTAAGTCGATTTTATAAAGATTGTCGTTGACATATTATTGTCATGGATATAAATATAACGGTCCTCCAACGATCAACCAGTAAGTAAATCATCGAATTGATTATTTATACCTAATCATTTTCCATACATAATAATTATAATATATCCATTCCTTAATTACATGAGTTTAAATCCATCAACTGTACATCTGAAACGTGGTCTCTTCTTAGATTCATATAGAGGCAATAATGCATGAAAACTCAACTTAGATGGTTTTACAGTTGAGTTATATATGCCTTCTAAACATGGAAATGTGAGGTAATATGCTAAAAAAATTATGGGAAAGGGTCCATGTAATTTTACTTTAATTGTTCATTTATGTTTTACAACTCCTTTGCAAGGAAATTATCCATTTATGTTCTTTACCTACATAAACATACAATAAAAAAGGAGGTGGAACAACCTACACAAGAAAAAGGCCTTTACTAGAGCTAAAAAGGCCAAGCCCTTAGGCCCATTATGATGAAATCGTTGCTTACAAAAAAGCAAACGATGTCGCTTAAGGAAACGTATGCAAAGAGAAGTTCGACGGGTGAAAAAGGGAAAATATTCCGAAGTGTGTTATTATATAATAAAAAAAATCAGATAGCGAAAGAAGGAAAAATCTTTCTAGCGATGGAAGAAAACAAGACGATGAACGAAAATCTGATCAACTCCTTCGTCGAGATCACTTCTTCGTCAAGAGAAGAAGCTACTTTCTTCCTCGAGAGTCACCGATGGGATCTAGACGCCGCCGTCTCCACTTTCCTCGACAACGATGCCGCAGCCGCTGCCGCCGATTTGCCAGCTGGACCAAACCCTAGCTTACCTCCTTCTTCGATCGCCGCTGCGTCTCCCTCTCAATCTCAGTCTCCGGAGTACTCTCCGTCTGAAAACTCTCCTTCTCGGTCACGATCTCCTTCTCCCCCTTCCCGCGACGCTCCCTACCGCCTCCGATCGAAAGGCGCCGCATCAGAGAATCAGGGAGCTGAGAATCCTTCCGGTAGCCGGAATACGAGGAGCCGTCAACAGGCTGGGAACATCCGTACCTTCGCCGATCTGAACCGTTCGCCGGCTGACGGAGCGGATAGTGATTCTGATGAGGGTCAAGAGTACTACACTGGTGGACAGAAGAGGTAAATTCTGTAGAAATTGTTAATTATTTTTCAGCATATTTGATCATGTTTGTATCCGATTACTGTTGAGAAATTGAGGAAACCTAATCAAATTTAGGCAATTACCATAATTTGAGCAATGTACTTTTCTTAAGGAGCCTAAATCTGAAGAATTGTGGTATTGATAGATCAATGATAGTATAGGGATGATCATATCTTGTGTATTGCTGAATGCATTATCAGTAGCCATATAGGAGAGAGACATGTTCATTGTTTACGTTCTTGAAGTCTACAAGTATGTAAATCTCTTGTAGCTAACGCAATATTTGGATTGTGCCTTTCTGTGATTAGTGGGATGATGGTTCAAGATCCTAAGAAACCAAAAGACGTCGATGCACTATTTGAGCAAGCTAGGCAGTCAGCTGTAGACAGACCCGTTGAGCCATCATCGAGGTCAGCTTCTACAAGCTTCACCGGAGCTGCTCGGTTGTTGTCTGGCGAAACTGTTTCCTCTTCTCCTCAGCAGCAACAGCAAGACCAGCCTCAATTGGTTATGCACACCATCACTTTCTGGATGAATGGTTTCACCGTCGATGATGGTCCCTTGAGGAGGTTTGATGACCCCGAGAACAGAGCCTTCATGGAGGTATATTTATCCAAAGCATATTGATTACAATACCAAGCTCCTGGAATCATTGTGTGTCTCATTGATATGTTTTCTTCTCATGCCTAGTTATTGAGCATCTAATACTTATATATATGTTGTCTTTTGTGCAGAGCATTGCAAAGTCAGAGTGCCCTCATGAACTTGAACCAGTAGATAGGAAGATCCGTGTTCATGTCGATCTCGTCAGGCGTAAAGAGAATTACACAGTAAGTCTCATTCCCTGGTTTACGCTGCTGCTTACCGATCGAGTCCATGTTGTCACATTACTTTGATTTCTTGATTTGCAGGAACCGCCAAAGCCGAAAACTCCATTTCAAGGTGTGGGAAGAACCTTAGGAGCTAGCGGATCCGGAACAAGCTCTGAACCACAAGCTGCACCACCGCAAAGGAACACGGCACCAGCACCATCAAGAGGGCTAATTGTGGATCCAGCTGTTCCGGTTACGTCGATCCAGCTCAGATTGGCAGATGGCACACGCCTTGTATCCAGGTTCAATAACCACCACACTGTGAGAGACATTCGTGCTTTCATCGACGCTTCGAGACCAGGTGGCTCCAAAGAGTACCAGCTGCTAACCATGGGGTTCCCTCCTAAACAGTTGACCGAGTTGGACCAAACCATCGAGCAAGCTGGTATCGCTAACTCCGTCGTTATCCAGAAATTCTAGATTTTAAGATCCCTTCGATTTTATGCTTTCAAGTGTTTGAACCTTATCCGCTGACTTGAACTGTTTTAGTCAACCCGCCGAGGTTTTTTTTACGTCTTTGTAGGATTTGGATATTTTTTTTTGAGATTTATCAATCTCTTTTTCTCTCAGATTCAATCACTTTTCTCATTTTATTATTAGATTTCTTGGCTTCTAAATCTCATTTCTAACGACTCAACAAGACAACCACCGTATCTTTCAGACAGAATAATCGTTTTTATGAACTTTTTTTAGGAAGATAATACAATTAGGGACTCGTGAATTTACGAATTGACCACTTGCAGCTTAAGCTCCAAACACATCTACGCTCCCTTAAAACAAGGACATAAAGGTAAATTGACCTACCTGCCCATCTGTCCATTTCTTTGCTTTCTTCAAAAAAACTTTATTTTTTAAAAATTTCTCTCTTCTATGTCTGTTATTCGGAATCCAAAGGAGGCCAGGTATTAAGAGATTGACAGTGAAAAATCTAATACAGAAAGGAGATAGGGAGGGACAAAATATTATTTTCCCTTGCTATTTTTGTTTCATTACAACCTTAATCTTCCTAATTGTGTTCTGTAACTTCCCAGTTTTTTTTTTCTCTTGCTGGGCTTCGTTGCCTTTTCCCCTTTTTTCTGTAACCCTTTTGTTCTCTCTCGTGCTCGATTCAGTTTAGGCAAGAAAAAAAGGAGCTGTTTTTACAGGGTTTATCACAAGATCCTTGTTTTCTACAGCTCCCATTTTTCTTAGGGTTTCTTTGATTTCATCACGAGTGCCCAGATCTCTCCCTCTACTCATTTATCCAATTGTAAGCTTGCTCGTATCTCTCCTCCCAAATTTACAATTTTTTGTTGTTTTCCGAACTTTTCCCACTTCAAGTTACATCATTTGCGAATTTGTACTTCCGATTTTTGAATTTTGGATTCGTGCGCATGCAGGGGCTGTTCAATAATTTAGGGTTTAAATTGTTTTAAGAAGACGAAGTGCGGCTAATTTAGGCTTTTGATTTCTTGTGGCGAAGTAGCGAGAAATTTGGGAAATTACCCAAAGGTTGAGGCTTTGGCCCGTTTGAGGGTTGTTCTGTAGATATGATCAAGCAGATATTTGGGAAATTACCCAGAAAACCTTCGAAATCATCATCGCACAACGACTCAAATCCAAACGGTGAAGGTGGGGCTAATCCGTATCACGTCCCTAATCCGACTACCATCTCGAAACCTTCCTCCAAATCGAATTCACATGGAGCAAACGGAACCATTCCTCCTCCTTCCTCTAACAACAGAGCAGTCAATCAAGTCAATAAAGATGGTTCCTTTCAAGTCTCTGGTGCTTACGAAGCCTTGCCAAGCTTCAGAGACGTTCCCACCTCGGAGAAACCCAATCTCTTCGTCAAGAAACTAACCATGTGCTGCGTCGTCTTCGACTTCACCGACCCGTCCAAGAACATCAAAGAGAAAGAGATAAAAAGACAGACTTTACTCGAGCTCGTCGACTACATCGCCACCGTCTCCACAAAGTTCACCGACTCCATGATGCAAGAGATTGCGAAGACGGCGGTTGTTAATCTCTTCAGGACGTTCCCATCAGCGAACCACGAGAGCAAAGTCCTGGAATCTCTAGATGTGGTTGACGACGAGGAAGCTGCGTTAGAGCCAGCTTGGCCTCATCTCCAAGTCGTATACGAGCTTCTCCTGAGATTCGTAGCTTCTCCGATGACCGACGCCAAGCTCGCGAAGCGTTACATCGACCATTCCTTCGTGTTAAAGCTCTTGGATCTGTTCGACTCCGAGGATCAGAGAGAGAGAGAGTATCTGAAGACGATCTTGCATCGTATCTACGGGAAGTTCATGGTGCACCGACCTTTCATCCGGAAGGCGATCAACAACATCTTCTACAGATTCATGTTCGAGACCGAGAAGCACAACGGTGTCGCTGAGCTGCTCGAGATTCTCGGGAGTATCATCAACGGTTTCGCCTTGCCGTTGAAAGAAGAGCACAAGCTCTTTCTCGTCAGGGCGTTGATTCCGCTTCACAGACCGAAATGCGCTTCCGCTTATCACCAGCAGCTTTCTTATTGCATTATTCAGTTTGTGGAGAAAGACTTCAAGCTCTCTGATACAGTCATTAGAGGGATGTTAAAGTATTGGCCTGTGACTAACAGTTCTAAAGAAGTTATGTTTCTTGGAGAGCTTGAGGAAGTTTTGGAAGCGACTCAAGCTGCTGAGTTTCAGCGTTGTATGGTTCCTTTGTTCCGTCGGATCGCTAAATGCCTCAACAGCTCGCATTTTCAGGTTTGCGTTGTCTTGTCATGGCTAAGAGTTTGTTTGTTTGTTGGATTTTAGATTCCAATGTGTTTGGTTGTTTTTTTGTGTGTGTTAGGTTGCTGAGAGAGCTTTGTTTCTGTGGAACAACGATCATGTGAGAAGCTTGATTACTCAGAATATTAGAGTGATAATGCCGATTGTGTTCCCGGCTATGGAGAGGAACACGAGGGGGCATTGGAACCAAGCGGTGCAGAGTCTGACTTTGAATGTGAGGAAGGTGTTGGCGGAGACGGACCAGGCTCTGTTTGATGAGTGTTTAGCCAAGTTTGAAGAAGATGAAGCGAGTGTAGGCGAGGTTGTGGCGAAACGGGAAGCGACGTGGAAGCGTTTGGAGGATTTGGCGGGTTCGAAATCCGTTGCTGCGAGCAGCGAGGCGGTGCTTGTTTCGAGGTTTTCGTCTTCGGTTACTGTTGCGAGCGGGAAAGCAGCCTCTGGTAGTTGAATGTCTTTTTCAGATGACGTACAAGCAGATTCGGGGGTGATTTAATTCGAGCATTCAAGATCGGTTCTTGAAGGGAGAAACCAAAGCGCAGGATAATCAGTGAATACGTTTTCTTTAACATTTTTCTTGAGGTTTCTTGGATCCATGGCTTGTTTAATTGGTTGTTGTTTTTAGCACTCAGCTCGTAGAGGAGTTGAGAGAAACAGTCTGTCTGGTGGTGTAAGAAATATGGTCTATAGATATAGTACTTGGGGACGACTAAATAATTTATTCGTAATGTATTTGTGGAATGATGAAATTGATCTGTGAAACTGTGTGCGTTCCTTGTTCTTTTCTACCTGTAAACTAAGGATTTCGAAGCCGATACGGCTCAACCGATCTTTAAGGAAATGGTGTTGACAAGAGGACAACGATTAAAAATCTCACTTTAGTTCTTTCTTTAGGGTTTTCTAGTTTCCTCTCTTACTTAAATTTTTGTAAACCAACCTATATGATGGTAGTTGGCTTCAATTAATAGATTGATTTCTACCCTAAACGATGTAGAGAATTTTGAATTCGAATTTTTTTCAACTTAAAAAAAAAATGCCAAGGATATAAATTTATTTATCTAATTCATTATCTTTATATGAAAAACAACAATCAATCATTTTTGGATCTATTGAGTAATTCATTATCTTAAAGTTTTTCTTCTTTTTTTATATAGAGGCAAAATCAAAGGGTTTTGGAAGTGATTACTTACCTCATCCCCAAGGATTTCACATCTTTCCCCAACATGAAACGCTAGGCGAAAGAAAACGAAACGCATGGAATCATCGAATAAATGCAGTTTTCGAGGTTTTGGTAATAATATAGCAAGTCAAACCTGCAAAATGTGTTTGCCCTTATCTTTAAGGGTTTTCTCAGCTTAAATAGTGTAATCAATGTTACAAGTGAGACTCACAAACATTTGTGAAAAAACTTTTCAAAACTCTCCAATAACAAAATAACTATTGCTTAAAACCTAAGCATCAATTTGTCCCTGATTTATCTCCGTTTTTTTTTGTAACTCACTAGGTCAAGAGTAACCTTGTGACTCACCCTTAGCGCAATCTCGTCTGAGCATTCCACAATAGGTTTCAAGAAATAAACAATTTTATGCAAATAATAAGCAAACATTAAGCAAATAGTAAGCAAATATGATAAAATGATCTAAAAATGAATTTATTATGACAAAACAAATATATATTGTTTAGAACAACTGTTTGGGGATATTTCAAAATTACACTTTTTGTGCACATTTTCAAAACTACACCTTTAAAGTGATTATTTTCAAAACTACACTGATCCATACCTAACAACGTTCTGGAAGAGCTTCTTCTCTGACTCAGTTTTTATCTTTAAAGCTAAACCCTTTTGAAGCCTTTTCTTCATACTCCAAGTTAAGACTTTCTCCGGATCTACCAGGTGCTGCATTTCGATGCAAAGACGGCCTGAGAGAAAGAAAGCAAGCAAGCAAGCAAGCAAGCAAGAAAGTTAGTTAGTTCATGAATTTAAAAACTACAACGGTCGTTTCCTATTACCTGATGTTGAATGTAAGTGTAGCACCTAGTCAAGGAAAGAAAAGTAGATGCTGCACTACCTAACTTTAAAAATCAGTGATTTACCAACTAGTTGATATTAGGCGATCAAACTTCGGGGTTCGGGTCGTGTTTTTCGGGTTTTCAAGTTTAGAAATATAGAAACCGTTTGGACTTTTTAAAGTCTCGGTTTGGGTTTATTTCAGAAATTTCGGGTTTTTCCGGGGTTTTCAAGTGTTTTTAGGGTTTTAAGATTTTTGGGTTTGAGATTTAAAAACTGTTTGGTTCAGTTCAGGTTTTTTGGGTCAAGTTTGTTTTGGGTCTCGGGTAAAAGTCCTAGGTCTAATTGATATTTATGCTGCATGGAAAGAAGCGGGTATGCGGAAGCTATATTTAAAAAAAATAATAGAAAGCAGATATGTGTTGGAAGTGTATACATATATATATATATATAGTATAAATCAAATATATCAATGTTATATGACTTAATTAATAATAATTAAAAATAATTTCAAAACTAAAATTAACATTGGTTTTCTATTATGTTGAAATCATCTTTCTGTTTTTTTATGTAAGTTAAGCACCCAGTAAAGGAAAGAAAAGTAGATGGTGCACTACCTAACTTTAAAAATCAGTGATTTAAAAACTAGTTGATAACTTGATTAAGGCCTCGGGGTTCGGGTCGGGTTTCTTGGGTTTTCGGGTTTAGAAATATAAAAACCGTTTGGGCGTTTTAAAGTCTCGGTTCGGGTTTATTTTGGAAATTTCGAGTTTTTTTAGGGTTTCCAGCTTTTTGGGTTTGAGATTTAAAAAATGTTTAGTTCGGTTCAGGTTTTCTGGGTCGAGTTTGGTTTGGGTTTCTGGTAAAAATCCTAGGTCTAGTTGATATTTATGCTGCATGAAAAGAAGCGGGTAATAATAATAATAATATATATATATATATATATATATATAATACAAACTTCATCCTAGGCTCAACTCCATACGTTTACATCCTAGGCTCAACTCCATACGTTTACATGTGACAAACCAATCTTATTATATAAAGCTGGATGCGCACGATGTGGTTGCGACACGTAGGATTTTTATAAAATTCAGGATCGCGACATGTGTCACTTTTAAGTTTATGTCCGTTAAGATCGTGACATGTGTCTTAGGAGAACTTAAAAAAAAAAAATTCCAGAAAAATGTTAATTAAAAAAACGAAATTTAATTTAATATATTATATCAAAAAGGAAAAAATAATATTTGTTATATCCAAACAGAAAAAGGTTTCATTCATCAATTTTTTATTATATAAAGTTGGATGCGCACGACGTGGTTGCGACACATAGGATTTTTATAATTTATAAGATCGCGACATGTGTCACTTTTAATGTTACGTCCGTTAAGATCGTGACACATGTCTTAGAGAAAAAAAAAATAATAATAAAAAATTTAGATAAAGGAAATTGTTTTTAAAAAATTAATCCATTACAGTTAAAAGAAATAAAAATATATTTGTCATATCCTAATAGAGAAAGGTTTCCCATTCATCAAATTAATATTATCCAAACAAATAATAAAATCAAAATAATGTAATAAATAAAATCCTATTTGTACATGGAATATGTTATGTAAACTAAATTTCCTATAACTGCATGTAATAGGTTACTTGAACCCTATAAAAGAGAGTCAAGATTTCTCAATCATAAATTCATCAAAACAAATTCATCAAATCCCTTTGATTATATTTCTCCAATTTAAAAATCATGTTTTTGAAAGTTTTGCGATACATAGGATTTTTATAACTGACAAAATTGCGACATGTGTTTTAGAAAAAAAAAATTCTGAAGTATGAAGATCGTAACATGTGTCATGGAATAAAAATAAAAAAAATTAATATGTATAAGACTAACTAAAAATTAGAAAAACAGATAACAAATAATTAAAATGAAAAAAATAATATCCATTAAAAGTAATAAAAAAACAGGAAACAAATAATTTAAATTCTTTTGTTACATCTATTAAGAAAAGGAAAAAAAATCCATTTCGAAAAGGAAAAATACCAATATATAGTATTTATAATGGTCCGAGGCAAAAAAAAATTGAGAAAGAAAAATATAAATAGAAAACTAACAAAATAATTATCAAGCAATTAACTAATATTAAAAAATTATAATTGATATTCTAATTTTAAATAGTTTGATTTTCAATTTTTGTTAGGTAAAAAAATTGAAATAAATATTTCATCAATTAAAATCTCTTGAATGGAATAATAAAAGTTTGATTAATTAATCAGTTGATCAGATTTAGACATGTGTAAGTCTTTCTGTATTGGATAAAAATAATAGTAAAACAAATTAATTCATTTTGTCATATCATAAATTCAAAAGAAAAATTAATTACAATAAAAATGTAAAAGTATTACCAATCTTATTTTATTTAAATATTTTTTATCGGGTTTTCAATATTATTTTTTTATGTTTAAAAATGATCAAATTTTGTTTAATATTTTCCATGCTTTTATTATAAAATCTTAAAATATACCCGCGTATACGCGGGCCTTAATCTAGTATATATATATATAATACCTCCTCATATTCAAAGTATGAGATTTTCACTGGGTTGTAAGAAGGAAAACATCTAAGTTGTCAAAGGTCATCTATCGCGATGCGAAAATTTGGAGATCACCAATTAAAAAAGAAGTGGTATACTCACCGGTTAACTCATCAATTGCACTCTGGGCATCCTGCACAAGGAATTAAGATTGGCAGCAATCAATAAACGGCTAAGGTAAAACCAGTTCATATACTAAGAGGTTAAAGTACCTGCTGGTTACGGAACGCAACAAATCCAAATCCTTTTGAGCGCCCAGTTTTCTGATCCCACATAACCCTTGCATCCCTACACACGACAGCTAAAAACTCAGACTGCAAATTATAAACTTCCATGTCCAGTACAAGAATGTACAGACGATATCAGCAGCAGTATTGCATCCGTAACCTCAAGGCTCAAATCCCCGACAAATATATTGAAGTGAGCTGCATATGAAAAGATTGCAGCAGTCTTCTTATGGTTTCGTCCACTACTTTGACCGAAGATCGGCTGGTCTGGCAATCCTTTCTCTCAATGGAAGGCATTTGTAAGTGCATTATTTCTTGATTTTTATTAATCTGTTAAGATACTCTGCTTTCCAAGGTTTTGGACTTGATGCAATGTGCAGGTTTGGGCAACCTATGAAGGTTAACTGGGCATATGCTAGTGGCCAGAGGGAGGATACATCAGGTTGGTTCATACTCTTATGCTAAGATTTTGCCCACCGCACAAGGAAAACATTCTTCATATAACATCCTTAGACTAAAACACTAACCTTTTCTTTCCTAATAAGTTTGCAACTTTCTACGGGACCAGTGCTAGCACAAACCTCTTGAAGCAGAGGTTCCGTCACCTGAGTATGGATGTTTCCAACATACCTGCAGTTTATCAAAGTAGACAAATTAAAAATCTCGACAAGAAACAGAACAAAGAAACAAAAAAACAGCATGTCTGCAAGTTACTACTCAATTTTTTTTTATTTTTTTTTTTATTTTTTTATTTTTTTGTGAAAATGACAACTAGAATGAGGAGATGATTACTAAGAATCACATTTTCCAGACAATTAGAATAAAGAATTTAGAGAAATGTTGTCAAATACCCTTATGCAGAGCCGTCCCTAAGTGTAGGTGGATCACAAGCTTGGAAACTAAAATTGGCCGATTTATTCTATTAAAAATCATTAAAAGACAAAAAGTCATATTTTGCAGCTACCTACATTCGAACTAGTGAGGCTTTGGAAGACAGACACTAACGTAAACCACTAAACTAAAGGCAACTTTTGTAATATCAGGGTCGAAATATAACTATATTAAAACAGGGCCGCAAGCTTCTGCTTGCTTTGCTTGCCCTGAGGGACGGCTCTGCCCTTTTGCCAAGACTTTTGACAAACTTATTCAACTTTTACTTCACAACTAGGTAAATACCCGCGCTTCGCTGCGGAAGAATATCATTGCATGTTTTCTTGTGTTTGTATTAATTAAATTTAAGATATTATAATTTGGTTATTTAATCGAATGTCGATTATCTTTTTTTCTATTAAACTAAAATGGTTTAATAATTATTGGGCATGGGCCGAAAGGAGATTGTTTGTGACGGTGTCGTTTGAAACTGTATGAAACTGTATTTCAGTATTTTCTTTAATCAATATTAATCATTTAATATTAGTTATGCAAATAACATATATTTTCTTCTTACAAACTCAATTTGAAAACAAAGATTGTTATAATCCATACGTCATTTTTCACCACGAACAGCAGTGCGACTCCACCAGGAACATCAACACAGTCTCTCAGCTTATCAACAGAGTCACATGGAAATTGCGGAAAATTCCAATATAAGGCCAGAGCTGGACAAGTCGACTCAGATTCCTCACCTGAAAACCAAAAGAAAAGCTCATGGACTTAGATGACTACCTCTCTAGACCGAGATCCTTCATCTTCTGCGCTTCCTCTTGATCATAAGTCCCATTTGTAGCAGCATCAAGAGCTAGCTTCATCTCTCTACCGACGTCTAATGCTTTTCTCTTTTTCTTCAAGGAAGTTCTCAGTTGCTATACAATCTCCCATTGTGAATGGCTTCTCCATGATCCTTCCTTGCCTTCGTCCATTCACATAAGCTGCACAAATGATTTTTGTTTTTCCAAATATAAAGAAGCTGAAACATCACAAAATCCTCTTTTAATTCCTCTATTTTTCCCATTCACATACCTGTGGACACTTGCAAGAAAAACTTCAGTTTCTTGAATTTCTTGGCGAATCCCATGAGATTACTGGGCCCTCGTGTGTTTATATCCAGGGAAACATCATATCTGTAATCTCCGCCATGATGAAAACATGTGTTAAGCAAAGACACATTTTCTAACCCAAGCCAAGAGAAACGTATGAAAATCAAGTAATCAACCTCAATGGAAGTGAGGTATGCTTCTGCTGCTTACCCAAAGCGAATAACATCACCAACATGCAAATCCACAAAAACCCTTTTGTCCACCTTCAACAATCACAACTCATTGTTAGCACAATCAAAGCTTGATCAAGAGACTGAACATTCATGAAGCAACAAATAAAACACCTTGTTCTTGTTAACTATCGTTCCATGAGTGCTTCCAAGATCGAATAGATAGGCAACTCCACTTCTCTTGTACTGAATTACTGGCAAATCATAACAAAAAAACAGAATTTAAACTCCATAATCCAAATTTGAAAACTTTAACACTCTGAGATTTAGCTATAAGATAAATCACCTCATGAAACATTGAAATCGAAAGGTGCTCAAGAGAAAAATCACACAAACTGTCACGTCCAAATCAAATTGAGAATGTTATTGCGCATCTCCAGCAAAATCAAATTGATAAATTTCTTAGAAGAGAATAGATTCACAAGAGAGCTTACACGTCTAATTGTTCAACAATGGCGCCTTCCTTAGGACTTCGAGCTGAAATTTGTGGCACGGAGGTCCACTCCACTCTGGGATAGTGTACAGGACCGGACTCGGACACGGGGTTGCTTATTATCGTCTACAGCGACGGAATCGTCCTTGGATTCTTCAATTATCTCGGGGTTTACTACTTCCGTCGACTCGAATAGGTGTGTAAGGGTTCCTGGGAGGCGGAGGGTTCATCGAAGAGACTTCCGATACGGCGGAGAATTCCTTGCTCTCTGAATTCGATGTTTTGTTTGGTTCAGGGTCTGGATCACGGGTAGGTTTTTGCGGCGGAGGATCCATCGCTGATGTAGTCATTGTTGCAGATGAGAGAATTCAGAGGAGGAGAGATACGTCGGAATCTACGTGCTTTTTGTTAATGGGGACAAGGACGGAGTCACGGAGAGATTTCTTCAGCCGAGATTTCTTTAGGCGAATGCTTCCATTTGTGGAGAAGAAGAATGAAACGAAACCGGGTCATGGAAAAAAAAAGAAATAAACCAAACAAACCGGATAAAAAACGTGGCAAGCTAAACCTGAAAAGTTGCTGACTGGTATTAATTGAAATGTTTCCATTGGTTGTTGCTTTTTACTGATGTGTCACTCTCAGAAAGCTTAAAAAAGCTGAGATGTCAACACCTTGTGAGGCACAGGAATTTTGGCTGTGTTGATTATTAACAATATAAATGCCTGCATAAGTACATTGCATTATTGTCTTTCCAAATAATTTCAGGAAACACAACTAGAGACTTGAGCTCACTGCGGACACAAAAATAATCCCAAAACACGAAACATACATTAAAGTGAACAAAAAAATTTCCTAACACTCACACGCTGCGGCAAGTACTTGGATCAAAACCGGGGGGAAGCTTTCCACTCGGGACTGGTTCTATCTGCAAAAGAGAACAAGGAAGAGGGAAAAAATGAAAACAAAGGGAAAAAAAAACACTTGCTTCCTAAACCACACCTATTTATATCACACTTGCTTTCTCAGCGACTAAGCTACGAGTTTCATGGAGTTGTTGAACCAAAGATCAGACAACAAGACAACAAGCACTTAAACAAAACTTTACGAATAGTCACACAAGCTTTGAGTTTAACTATTGGTGATAATCCCATAAATTTCATCACTTTTTTCGTTTGACCAATAGTTATGAACAAAAGAGAAACACGTATCATCAATCACGGAAATTAAAATTCAAGAGAAAACTTTTAGAGAAAGAATTAGACATCACGGAGAATATCTGCAAATAAATCTCAAAACCACAAAAAAAAAAAATTGAAACCAGAAATGGAGAGTTCTAACTCTGAGCCGTATCGAACAAAAGTGTCTATAAATATAATTCAATGAGCCGTATCGGCTTCGAAATCGGTTGGTGCGAGCAACGAGGCGGTGCTTGTTTCGAGGTTTTCGTCTTCGGTTGCTCTTGCGAGCGGCAAAGCAGCCTCTGGTAGTTGAAGATCGGTTCTTGCTTGAAGGGAGAAACCAAAGCGCAGGATAATCAGTGAATACGTTTTCTATTTAACATTTTTCTTCAGGGGTTGTTGGATTCATGGGTTGTTTAATTGTTTGTTGTTTCTGATCTTTTTTTTTTTAAGACTCAGCTCGTAGAGGAGTTGAGGGAAACAGTCTGGTGGTGTAAGAAATATGGTCTATAGATATAGTTCTTGGGGACGATTAAATAATTTATTCGTAATGTATTTGTGGAATGATGAAATTGATGTATGAAAATGTGTGCGTTCCTCGTTCTTTTCTACTTGTAAACTAAGGATTTAAGTAGTCTGCTTAATGCTCTGTTAGCGAATAAAGAAGGATCTAATGAAACCAAGGATTCTTTTTGTTCTTTAGTCAATGAGTGGTGTTCAATGTCATTGCCAAGGACAACTCAACAACCAACCAAATCTACTTAATTTTTCTAAGTCAAAACACTCACAATCAACTTTTTCGTTTTCTTCCAATCCCGAATTATAAGCTGTGACTTCTTAGCATGACGTGTACTATTATTTATTTATAGATTGCAAATAAACCCAATTTGCAAATGCGAAATTTCCTTTTCTTGGTGTAATATTGCAAGCTGGTTGAACAACCCTCTTTTTTTTTTCTTTAAATTTTCTTTTTACCTTATGTGTACAATAATGCTTGTTAAGAAAAGAAGAATAATTTGACACGCTCCTCTTAAATTAGAAAAGTAATTATTTTCTGGTACAAAATATCCAATACTATTAAATTTGTTTTCTTGTTTTAAAACAAAGGAAATACAATATCATATCATGTGTAATTTAATTTGTCAATATCTATTGTGATAAGGTATATATAAACGGAAATAATGATTCTCCTTACTCACAAATTGTGAATAGTGACAACTATAACAACAATATTGAAGAAATTCATAACAAAATATTTAAGAAGACGTGTATAAAAGGGGGGTATATTATAATTGTATAGCAAAAGAAGAACAAAGAACAAGAAACAAACAGAAAAATACCAAATCCATCTCTCTCCCTCTCTCTCTCTCTTTCTATGAAAACGCAGCTCCTAAACGCAGACGCTGAATCCGTTCAACTACTGCTGAATTTAAGTGGTCATGAAGAGAACACCGAAGTCAACGGCTCCACCGATTCGGACAAGCCTTTGAGCGTCGAATTTGTAGAGAGCCCCGAAGTCAACGGCTCCACCGATATTTCGGACAAGCCTTTGCCCTTGGGCGTCGAGTTTGTGGAGAAGGTCTTAAACTATGAGTTCAAAGACAAGAGTTTGTTGCTGCAAGCGTTCACAGACGTTTCTTACGACGAAGAAGACTGCGATTCTTACGAACGCCTAGAGTTCTTAGGAGATACGGTCTTAAGCATGGCTATAAGCAATGAACTATTCAATCGCTACCCGGATTGTCCACCTGGTCCGTTGACGAAACTCCGAGCGGTCAACGTTGACACCGAGAAATTGGCCCGAGCCGCCATCAAACACAAACTATACCTCTGCCTTCGTCATAAGAAACCGTTGCTTGATGACCAAGTAAGTTACTTTCCTTCAAAAGCCCTAGTTATTTTTCATTTTCCTTTTCTTTTATGTTGATTGATTGATTTAATATGAAAGTAAATAAATATGTACTTGACCGTAATTATTAACATAAGACGTGAGACTTGACGTCATTTACTTTGCAGGCAACGATTGTGTACAGAGTCTCTATACATTAAATGAGTACCCACGCTTTCTTATAGTTTTCTTTTAAGATGTTTGAAAACGTTATAAAAGTAGAAGATGTCAGATATTCGCATTTATAGGCTTTAGGTTGTTAGCATGAGAGAGCAATCATCCATTTATGATTCAAAAGTACAGAGAAAAAGAATCATTTATATCATAATTAACAATACTTTTGTTTTATATCATGCACATATAGTAGAGCCTAAAGTACGTGTATTTTGATGTGTCTAATTGTCTATGTATGCAGATAATGGAATTCGAGAAAGAAATAGAAACATATCCTTTACATTCGCGTGGTCTCTTGGGTGTCCCAAAATCTTTAGCAGATATCGTAGAGTCCACCATTGGAGCTATCTACAAAGATTGCGGCCCCTCCATTGAGAAAGTCTGGGAGGTAACTGCTTATATATGCTTGATATCTTTTACAATTATTCTCTAACTAGAATAACTAACAATTTTTTGTTGAAAATGATAAACATATAGGTGGTGAAACCATTGTTGGAGCCAATAATAACGTTAGATAAAATGGAGAACCATCCGGTATCAGAACTCCTTGAGTTGTGTCAGAAGAAGAACTTAAAATGGAGGTTCGAAGACCGTTGGGAAGATGAAAAACATGTTCTTCTCTTTATCGAAGATCATTTGGTTGGACGTGGACATCATCCTCTCAAGAAAGATAGAGCTAAAAATTTCGCTGCCAAAAATGCGATCGAGAATTTCTCCAATTTTTTTTCTGAAGAGCTTTAACTTTATTATTATGTGGTAAGAAATTAAGTTCTCCTGGAGAAATTGTATTGTTGTTGTAACTGAACAACCTTGAATAAAGAATATCCTTTTATTTTCTTTTTATGCTTGAACCTAGCACTGCTGAAAAATTATAAGAGAGAACAAAAGACTAAAATTGTTTTTCTATTAAGAGGTAAGGATAATTTTATCTCTGAAAATCTCTATCAAGATGATGTATAGACATTGTAAAAGATGAATATGCCTTAAAACATTGGTTAGCACAACAATCAAAACTCTACCACAGCAAAAGCAAAAACTTATAAGTAGATAGAGAGGAAGAAACAAGAACATAAGGGTAGAGGTTTACTAGTGGGAGTAGAGCTGTAGAAGCCAAGGTAAAGCCGTGGTTGCAATGTGAGAAAACAAAGAGACATACTTTGCAAGCAAGAAATAAATATTAGAACCTAAATTTCTCCAATACATACCCCTGAGGTACTCCCTCCGTTTTTTTTAACATGAATTTTTTAGACATTATTTGCTGTTAGACATTATTTGTTGTTTCACAAAGATAAAATTTCTAGCTTTTTGATGCACTTTTTCAGTTCTCAAGAAATATTAATTGTATTTGTTGGACTTTTATTGGTTGAGAATTATAAAAAGTTGTTTTATTGCAAAAATTTATGCATTAATGATTGAAAATCAGCTTTTCCTTAATCATATATATGAATTGATGCCAACTCTCTCCATATGATTGACATGTGGACACTTATTGGATTGACACATGACAAAGCTTTTAAAGAGAATACTCTTCACATTCTTAACCGTTGCAGTCATTACATACATGTTTTCCAAAACCGTCGATTGCTTCACCTTCCACGTTATATTAACCCTCCATTAATTGACATATGACATGACTTTTCCTCTTCCTTCCAATTGATAATTTTAAATCTTATTTATTTGCTAAATATTCATTTTCTAAACAAAGACGGGAAATCAAAGTTCGTTAATGTGGTAGTAAGTAAACAAAGAGAGTTGATGGCAAATAGACGTGTGGTATAATGCAAAATATAGATTATGAAAGTCAGCTGCTAACCAGATAAGTTGAAATTAAAATGCGAGTATTATTTGGATTATAGTTTATACTATTAATAATCGCAAATTTAAAATTATTTAACATTTTTCTAAAACTATAACAATTGGAAAAACCCGCGCGTATGCGCGGGCATTGGTCTAGTATATGTGAAAATTCTAGAAAATTCATCTTAAAAATACGGAGGAAGTATATGATTTGAAACCAAAGGTAAAGATTTCATATTTTTTTGTTTAACTAACATGACCTCTTTTCTAAGGTAAGGGCAATATGAATAAATAATTTATTTATCAAACTTAATATACAGAAAAACACGGCTTCAGAAAAAGTGTAATACTAGCTAGTAAATACTAAATAGCCTTTTGCCCCTTTGCTTATGATTTGCTAATTTTTTTTTCTGACTCAAATATATTGTCGATTCATTTTTCTTTAATACACTAGTCTCGTTAAAGTTGTTCTCTCATGTACAAATAAAGTACGTTTCACAATTATTTTACAAAAAAATTAAGGTTAACGAACATTTGCAAGGTTTAATTGGGTTCACGATTTCTTATTCTCGTTTATATTTATTTTGTTATATACTTTCTTATAGTTGTCATACTTTACATTATTCTATTTGTGTTTGTTATTTCTTTTATAGGGTTTTGTTTTACATGCTATATGATTTTATGGTGATGAATAAGTTTTCTACGATATAATGTCACGTATTAGTTTGATTTCACCAATCTTTGACTAAGTTTTAGCATTTAGGTTTAGTTTTTAGAAAGTGTGAAACATAAAGGATTAGGGTATATAGTGTTCGATATTTACCCTAGTTATATGTGTAATTCAACTTCTTGGACAACACAACTACATGACATGTCAAGTCCAGACCGGTGCTGCGAATGTCATGAGGTCGGTCGGTGTGAGAGTGTCAGTTCTTCACTTGCTGTGCGTATATAGCCCATTGGGGTGTAGTCCTTGAGAAGATGGTTTTCAGGCAACCGACTCACGTGTACTTCCTGATTGCAGCTCCACTGCAGTGCCATGACAATACTCGCTGGTATTGGTAAAGTCATCCAAGAATCTGTGATCCCTCCGATGAATCTGAGATAGATCCAAACCGATGTAGGAGAGATTTCGGGAAGCTAAGTCCTTCTCCTTCAGAAATAAGTGGTTCTATATATGTTCTTCCCTTTGTGAGCTCTTTCTTCTAAGATTGAGAAACCAAGATGTTTTCAAGCAATATCAAGTCAATATTGGCAATTTCAGAAAATTGTTTCTGTAATCAAATTTCCCAAAATCCCGTCAGGAATTTCAAATATATCAATTTCAGAGAACAATCACAGATGACAAAAAGTGTGAAACATCAATCCGTAATTAGTCATATAGCATTCAGTATTTATTCTCGATGGTCTCTCAATATATGTCTTTATTAGTATTTAGGGAGAAAATTGCAAACAAAACCCTAAAAATCTTCGATTCATAAAAAAAAATTCAAAAATATTTAGGTGTATCTGAGTTTTTAATATAACCCAGATGAGGGCTTCAATGTTATTTCCATTAAATTATTAATGAGAAATGAATCACACAATTATAATAATTAGTCAATGATGTCATTTTGAATGTTGAACACACATCATTAAAAGGAAAAAATGTAGAACACAAACACATATAACATGCCATAAAAACAAGGTTGCTTAGGTTATTAGTAATCAGTATCAGATTAATCCATTATATCATTCATTTTGATTATTAATTTTGCAATTTTTTGAACATGGTCACTTAAAAAGATTCTAACAGGCCGTAAAATGATTTCGAGAGAGGCCCAGATCCTTCCGGAAACACAAAACAAAAATGACTTAATAAAAATCATCAGAAAATGTCTCTCAGGCTTAGTTTTTCTTGAAGAACAAGAGAAACAAACTACAAATTCCCTTTTTGCTTTTCTGATCTTCGTTTGTTCCCACCAACCAACCTTCAGATTTCAAATCGTTCAGAGATGGATTTCGAGCTTAGATCGGCGAGGGAGAAGCTCGATAGAGAGCAGAGAGAGAGGAAAGAGAGAGCGAGACTTAAGCTCGAGCGTGAGAAGAAAGCCAAAGAGGCTGCGATTCGGCAACGCGAAGCCATTGAAGCTTCTCAGAGAGCCCGACGACTTGACGCCATCGAAGCCCAGATTAAGGTCTGTTTCTACTCTCAACCTCTAATCGCGGTTTCGCAAGTTGAGAATTCGAGTTTCTCAATGTTAGGTTTTTCGCTTCCTGGTAAAAATTGAGATTTTGCACGCTCCTCAATAGTCTCTATAGATATGTGAAATTTAGAATTTTTGGTAATGAATCTCTGCAATTGGCATTCTTATTTACTTCACCTGCCTGAATCATATGACAAATGGGTATTGTTCGTTTTTGGAATATACCACATTTCGATGCATATAACTGATCCGTGACATTGACCCATCTTGCTTTGAAGTTCGTAAGATCTAAATTTACAATCTTTACTTCAAAAAATTTAGTACCTTGATGCAAAACTTAAGAAAGCTCTCTCTGATACTGTATATTGGATTTTTTTTTGTTCTTTCTTCAGGCTGATGAACATATGCAAGAGAGTCTGATTGCTGGAGGAGGAATAGTGTTTGAACGAGTCTTCCAAGCTGTTCCTTTCCAAGGAAATGGAGATAAGATAAAACTCCCACCATCGTGCTTCACAGAGCTATCTGATCAAGGAGCTTTCGATAAAGGTCCTTTGTACTTTGAGCTCTCTGTAGCTGACCACACTGATAACAAGAAGACAACACACTCTGGCGTTCTTGAGTTCACCGCTGAAGATGGCACTGTTGGTCTTCCTCCACACGTTTGGAGCAACTTATTCTCAACGCATGATCCAACAGATGTTCCTTTGGTGCAAATCCGTTATCTCCGTCTTCCTAAAGGAAGCTACGCAAAGCTTCAGCCGGATAGTCTCGGTTTCTCGGATTTGCCTAACCATAAAGCCATCTTGGAAACGATTCTTCGTCAACATGCTACACTTTCTCTAGACGATGTTCTCTCTGTGAGTTATGGGCAGGTCTCTTACAAGCTACAGGTTCTTGAGTTAAAACCTGCCTCGAGCATTTCGGTTCTGGAGACTGATATTGAGGTTGATATTGTTAGTCCAGATATAGTTTCGGATCAACCGAAGAATCAACATGTGTTGAGGCCGCTTCAGTTTGGGAAATCCGAATCCGGAACAGTTGAGGAAGGAAGATATGATTACTATAAGTTTACGGTTGATGAGTCTACTGTAGAGAAAGTAATGGCAGGAAGCGTCAAAGTTATTGTCAAGATAGATGTGGAAAAAGATGGTGCGGATACTGATCTCTACGTGTCAAAACATCCGGTTCTGTTTCCATCTTTGAATCAACATGAGTGGTCTTCACACGACGTTGGTTCAAAGACGTTGATCTTGGGATCAAAGGAGAAGGCTCTGAGCTCAGGGACTTACAGTATTGGTGTCTACGGCTTCAAAGGAACGGTCAAGTACCAGGTTTCAGTGCTAGTTCAAGAAAGCAGCGATGGTGCTAAGGTTGGGGAACGGGCTGTGTCGTCTTCATCAGATGTCGATACAGTAGAGTGTAGGAACTGTAAGCATTCGATTCCAAGCAGGAGTATCGCTTTGCACGAGGTGTACTGTAGCAGACACAACGTTGTTTGTAATCATCCTGGATGCGGAATCGTTCTGAGAGTTGAAGAGGTTAAAAACCATTTGCACTGTGAGAAATGTGGGAAAGCATTGCAGCCAACGGAGATGGAGAAACATCTGAAAGTCTTCCATGAACCACTCGGTTGTGGCTGTGGAATCGTGCTTGAGAAAGAACAGATGGTGCGTTGTGATCACAGATTTGATTAAGTTCTTATTACCTTTTGTTGTGCTTCTTTAGTAACATGAGATTGTGGTTTTTGTTGCAGGTTCAACATCAAGGAAGAGATTGTCCTCTTCGTTTAATCGCTTGCAGGTTCTGTGGAGATATGGTGGAAGCTGGTAGCTCTGCAGCTGATGCTAGAGACAGGATGAGAGGAATGTCTGAACATGAGAGCAATTGTGGCTCAAGAACTGCACCTTGTGACTCTTGTGGTCGATCTGTGATGCTCAAGGAGATGGACATTCACCAGATTGCTGTTCACGGCAAGAGCAGCTAAAGTTCGGATTGATATGGTAAAGGAAGAAAATTGCTTGTAATGTTTGAGATTGTTTAGTTGTTTGAACAGAGAAGCAACGTCCCATTTGTAAGCAGATTTGTATTGTTTATGACATTTATGATTCTTGGAAGTCAAAACAGGAAACAAAAAAGTATCTTTCAACTTACGGATGAGTAGAGCCCAGAGACCTTAAAGGTTCAATTTTTGACTTACCAAATATGTCGATAATTGAAACAACAAAGCCAAAACGAAATAAAAGAGACAATGATGCCTTAGTGTGTAAGTTTTACTACAGTGGGTCAGGAGGAGTCAAGACAATGATTGATTGTGATTGTTTACTGAATTAAATTTTATTCCATGAGGAGACCAACTTGCTTGGTGAGAGTTTTTCTTGATGAATGATTAGATATCAGCCCACTTTTTTTTTCTGTGGTTGAAAATAGAACAATGAGGAAGAATGGCTTTTGTATTTTGCAAGTTACCAAAAAAAAAACAGGTTTAAACAAAAATTAATATAAAATATGGCTTCAAGTTGCAGATTATCTTTTGACCACGCATTCTTCCATGATGGATAATTTGTACCATTAGTTTAAACAAATGCTAATTTCTTGTTTTATTCAAATGGATCCAGATCTTTCTTCCCCAAAGGAGTAAAAGCATATCTAATATATGATTATATTCCTCTAACCTTTTTATTATGGCTGGAAACATAATTAAATAGTGGTGGACTAGTGGTGGTATTGGAGTCATTGGTAATACCGTACTAGTATTAGTTTGTTAATGATAGTAGTAATAGAAAACACTTTCAAAACCAGATTTGGGAATAGTTGGTCATATAGCGACAACATTAATATGTACAAACTATTAAGGTTTTTGAGTGCTGATTGCTGACGAAAGGAATAAATGCGGGATATATGTGTAGAGAATTTAGTTACTATTCTGATACTATTGACACGAATTTCTCATTATATTGAAAAAGCATTATATCTAAATTTCTTGTTTTTCATGGCAAGACAGGACTTAGATAGATTCCATGAAAATGGAAACATATACGCGGAAGAGAAACGCCAATTTTTTTAAGAACTATAAAATGAATACGTTAAATAGTTTAACTAAGATAAAGATTATAACGTTTGAAAACAAATTTATAGAAGATATTTTTCCCCGAACTTCTAGAAGTAGAAAAAAAATCTTCGTCAGTACCATCAACCAAAACTATTTTCAAATCTGGTTCATCCTGAAAAATAACATCAGTCTAATAAATCAAAATAAACAGTAACTGATTCTAAATGAATTAAGTTGATCACTTAATCTCAATTTATTTTGTTATTATTTTCTTATTACAAAAAAAAACTATCACTTAATCGCATTTCCAAAACAGATACGACCGTTTCTATTAGGTTTTCAAACTGGATATTTTTTAGAAAACATGTGTTCTAAGAACTTATGTTTCTAAAACGTTTTTGAAACAGTTGAAAAAAAAACTATTAAATGTGTGAATTATATTTCTTATTAATTGTAAATTGAGTGTACAATGTCACTTATATACAACAAGATTAGTAGCTAAAGGAAACTAACTAATCACAAATAATCAAACCGGATATAACCGGACTACTATATCCAATATACCCCCCTCAAGCAGATGCTTCAGAGCCACGTTGAGATAAGAAGAGGCTTGAAACAGACATACGATTCAGGAGGGAGAAAAATGGACCAGGCTGAAGCGAGTATATCGGCATGTTGGTTTTCACTCGCCACAGACATCAGTTTTAAGAAGCCATTCTTCACTTGATCACGAACCGTGTGACAATCGATCTCCACATGCTTCGTCCGTTCATGAAACACTGGGTTCGTAGCAATATAGATGGCAGATTTATAGTCACAGAAAAGCTTGGCAGAAATGCAAACCTCAATCTTCAAAAAGGTGAGCAGTTGCTGAAGCCAAAGAAGTTCACACGTCGTCTGAGCCATACTCCGATATTCCGACTCTGTGCTACTCCGACTAACGACGTCTTGCTTCTTAGACTTCCAAGTGATCAAGGACTTGCCAAGGTAAACGCAGTAACCAGTTATTGACCGGCGAGATTCAGAGTCAGTACCCCAGTCAGCATCCGAGAAGGCATTAAGACAAACCGTCGAGGAAGCAGAGTAGAAGAGGCCTTGACCGGGATTATTCTTGAGGTAACGCAAGATCTTGTGTGCAGCATTGAGATGCACATCCGTGTGACAATGCATGAATTGACTCAAGCAGTGCACAACAAAGGTGATATCAGGCCGCGTGATAGTCAGATAGAGAAGACGACCAACCAGCGTCCGATAAGGAGTCGGGTCAAGAAGAGCAGTGCCTGACTCTTTAGTCAATTTCACAGTGGGATCCATCGGTACAGAGCTTGGCTTGCATCCCAACAAACCAGCATCAGAGAGCAGATTCAACGTATACTTCCTCTAACAAACGGAAATCCCAAGGGAAGATCGGGCAATCTCAAGACCAAGAAAGAAACGAAGTTCACCAAGGTCTTTGATCTTGAATTCCGAGTTCAGAGAAGCCTTAAGAGACGCCACCTCTGCGTCATTATTGCTTGCAATCATGATATCGTCGACATATACCAAGACAGCAGTAAACTTGTCACCAGCTTGCTTAGCGAACAGAGTGTTGTCAGACGCAGATTATACAAAGCCAGAACGTAGAAGCACATCAGAGAGACACTGGTACCATTGGCGCGAGGCTTGCTTTAAGCCGTATAGTGACTTGTGTAGACGACAAACAGGGTTTGGAGGGAGAGTACCAGAAGTAGGAGTTAGCCCAGAGGCAAACTCATGTAGATCTCCTCATCCAAGTCACTGTGAAGAAAGGCATTGGAGACATCCATTTGACACAGACTCCAGCCCTTGATAGCAGCCAAGGCAAGAAGAAGCTTCACACTTGTGAGCTTAGCAACAGGAGAGAAAGTTTCTGTGAAATCCACACCCTCCTGTTGAGTGAATCCCTTTGTGACGAGACGAGCTTTGTACCGCTCTATAGTACCATCTGCCTTATACTTAATAGTATAAACCCATTTGCAACCCACCACATTCTTACCAGGGGGCAATGATTCAATAGTCCAAGTTCTGTTTACCTCCATAGCCTCAAGTTCCTCATTCATAGCGTGTCGAAAATGAGGAGATGTCATGGCTTGCTTGAATGTCGTCGATTCCGTCTCAAGAGAATAGGAGAGAACATAGGTTTGATACAAAGGAGCAAGAGCAGAATAGCTAAGAACATTAGAGAGAGGGTAAACAGTAGTAGAGGGAATAGATTCAGGAGAAGGAATGTCAAAAGGAGAAATGAAAGGCTTAGAAATTTGAGTAAGGGAACAGTGATAGTCAGATAAGTAACCTGGAGCCTTTGACGCACGTTTGGGTCGTGAGATGTCATTGAGTAAGCGACTCTGTCCAATGCCACGTGAAACAGTCTCTCGTGATATAGATGGGGCATTAGAGCGTGATGCAGATGAATGAGATGCATCAGATGAATGAGATATATGAGGAGAATGAGATGCATCAGGAACAAATGCATCAGAAGCATGAGATGAATGAGGTGCAGTAGGAACATGCGAATATGCAGCAGGACCAAGGTTGGTAACAGGAAAAGAATCAATACCAACTGGAATAGGCAAAGGCAAAATCGTTTTTGAAAACAGATCATCATAAATGAGTGAAGAAGCAGTTTTAAGAGGAAAAACGTTTTCATGGAAAACCACATTACGACTGATAGAAACAATATTTGTGTCCAAATGCAAAACTTTGTAACCTTTGCAACCAGAAGGATAGCCCAAGAAAACACAAGCATCAGCCCTTGGTGAAAATTTGTTGCGATCTTTAAGTAAAGTCGAAACATAACATAAGCAACCAAAAGAGCGAAGAAAGGAATAGTCAGGGGTTTTCTTAGCAAGAACTTCAAATGGACCAAGTTTATCCAAAAGCAACGATGGAGTGCGATTAATAAGAAAGACAGCAGTATAAATGCAATCACTCCAGTAGATCAAAGGCAAATTCGATTGAAATAACAATGCACGAGCAACATTGAGTAAATGCTGATGTTTCCTTTCAACCACTGAATTTTGCTGAGGCGTATAAGCACAAGAATATTGATGCACAATTCCAAGTTCAAGAATCAATTTCGGAAATGCAAGTTCAGGGGCATTATCACTGCGAATCATTTTGATAGTCACACCATATTGAGTTTGAATATACTTAACAAAAGACGGAAAAATAGTCGAAACTTCACTTTTATTACGCATCATATAGATCCAAGTTACACGACTACAATCATCAACAATGGTGAGAAAATATTTGTAACCTTCTATTGATTCAACTGAAAAAGGACCCCAGACATCCAAATGAACAAGATCAAAAGGAGCCTTAGACAAACGACTATTAGAAGGAAATGAAAGACGCTTTTGTTTAGCTAAAGGACAAATGCTACAATGCGGAGAAACAGAACTAGCAGCTTTATGCAGATGCAGGATACCAGAAAGATGCTGTAACTTGGCAGGAAATGGATGTCCAAGGCGCTGATGCCAAAGAAGACCATCATCAAGCAAGGATCCACATAAATTCGAGGAGATAGCAGGAGCTTGAAGAATGTAGAGATTGTTGATGAGATTGCCTCTACCAATCGTCAAGCCCTGAATAGACTCCTGAATGATGCAATGATCAGCATAAAAGTGAGCAGAACGATCAGCATTTTTGAGAAGACTACTGACACTAATGAGATTAAAACGAAAAGAGGGAACATGCAAAACATTATGCAATGTTAATGATGAATGAATATGCACAGTGCCTGTGTGACTAATCGATTCTCATATGAAAAGTTTCACTAAACAATGACAAGTCAGAACAAACATGAGTCGTGGCACCACTGTCAATTATCCAAGCACCACTAGGTAAAGAGTTATAAAGAGAAGATAAGCATTGGTGTTGGAAAGTAAGGCAGTTGTTCTCAAAACGAAGGCTAGAAGAGGGAAAAGGGAAGTTTGAAGTGAGACAAGAGACGATACCAGCAGACGATTCAGAAGCCGTGTGACCTCCATCGGTGATAGACGCACGTTGAATGGGAACCTGAGAGTCTGAAGGCTTAACATGACTTTGGAGCTGTTGAAGCAAAGTCTGGAACTGATCTGTGTTGAGTTGACTCAGGTCAATATTGATAGCATTCTTAGTCGGAGCTGGCAAATACATCGGAGAAGCAGTCACATTCGCCACAGTGTTCGTCTTTTGATATGACTGAGATGGAGGACGAGATTGAGACTGAGGATGTGACTGAGCCGGACCACGAGAAGCCTGAGACAACTGAGGAGATGGGTTTACTCCAGAAGCATTATAATACTTGTGACCCGGAGGATAACCATGGAGCTTGAAGCATTTCTGAACCACATGACCAAATTGACCACAATGAGTACAAAGCGGACGTTGACGAGGACGGTATGTGTTGTTGTATTGTGCAGCAAAGGCAGCATTCTCAGAGGTAGTCTCAGATGAAAGAGAGCGAGTATCATCATGAGAATTCTGGAAAACAACATTGTCCTGTCTTGAGCTTGGTTTAATAGTCTTCTGACGCTCATCTTGTGCAACCATGTTGAAAACATCCTCAATAGAAGGAATCGGTTTCATCATCAAGATATGACGACGAGTAGGCTCATAGGCTTCATTCAATCCCATCAAGAACTTCATAACACGGCTCCTCTGTTGTAACGCTTCCCACAAATGTGCAGCATTACACTCACAACGACCACACGTACATACAGGGAGCTCAATGTAGTTCTTATATTCCTCCCAGAGAGTCATCAATTCTGTGTAGAAACTACTAACATCCATAGATCCTTGTTGTAGAGTCTCTAAACGTTGTTCAATCTCAAACACACGAGGGGCATCATCTTGCTTAAACCTGGCCAAGAGATTCTTCCAAATAGATTCAGCAGTACTCATGAACAACAAGCTTTGACCATCTTCTTACTAACTTAATTCATGATCCAAGTAGCTACCATATCGTTACACCGTGACCAAGATCCGGCATCTCTATGATTATCAGGTGGTTTAGGAATAGTACCATCGATAAAGCCCAGCTTGTTGCGGATATTGAGAGCCATACGCACGGAGCGACGCCATGAATGAAAGTCAGCGCCGGATTGTAGACGATCGGAGACAAGGATGAGACCAGCATGATCGGAGCTGTGAAGGAAGAACGGATTCTCGTATTGATCGAGAAATTGAGGAATCGCAGGAGGAGGATCCATGATATCGATCTCAAAAAGACTTCATAGAAGAAAGATTGTGCCGAAAACGAAGAGAAAGCAACAATCCGAGGTCAAATGAAAAGAAAAGTAGCGAGAAAAAAACAGAGAAGAGAAAGCACGAAGAATCGCCCAAATCATCGAAGAAACATCCCAAATCAGTTCAGAAATCAATCGCGAACACGAGACACTCATCGAGAAAGAGATTTGACGAAGAATGAGCTCGAATCCGAAGAGAAATCGAATAAATTGAGCTGAGAAAAGCTGAGAAAGTGACCGGGAAAGTAAGCGAGAAAGAATGAGAAAATCAGCGGAAAGTTTGTTTGTGCTCTGATACCATATTAAATGTGTGAATTATATTTTTCATTAATTGTAAATTGAGTGTACAATGTCACTTATATACAACAAGATTAGTAGCTAAAGGAAACTAACTAATCCCAAATAATCAAACCGGATATAACCGGACTACTATATCCAATAAAAACAAGTCTGGGAAGAAGTTTATATGCAACCTAAATTTGCACATCAATAATTAACATCTAAAGTTTATGTTAGAGAGTATGACCTAGAGAATACGTACAAAATAAATATATTAAAAACAATCGATATCTTAGCAGTCACGATAATAATTCTGAAAAATCTAGAAAGTATTTTGGCAAAATCCACCACGCTAAAATACGGGAATGCATGGCAGATTGGCAGTATGGAAATCCAAAATTTTATATTGTCAAAAAGTATATTTGGACCCTCGACTTTAATAATTTTTGAATTATCCACCGAAAAAAAAACTATAAGAAAATCAGAAAATATCGAAATAGTGGTTGTGATATTTTCTGAACATGTTCAGTGTTCACACTTCCTCTAACTTAACCGTCTTTTTTTTTCATGGTAGGTCCATAATGATAAACTTTATATTTTCCACGTATTTTCACATTAGAATTTAAATCAAGAAAGCCCATAAACGATCATAGCCACTAGTTTACGCACTGGACAAAACGAAAAATAATTCCAATTTCATAAAATTAAAATAAACGTTAGGAGACAATTCCAAAACACGCACACTCCTCCAATTTCATTAGTGCTTACTATTTCTTGTCATCTTCTTTTGTCACGGTTTTGATTTACTCATCAGTCTCTTTCATACCAAAGAGCATCTTGAATATTTTTTCTTTTCTTTTTCTCTATTTTTCTCTGTAATAAATAGTGAAATACAGAAGGCTCACGTTTTGCCAAGTGCGCAACAGTTTTTTGCCTTCACGGATCTCTTTAAACAATATGAATTCGCAGTAATCTTTTCGTCGAATGTATATTTCGGACATATTTCCTAAAAACCCGGCAAGAAAAAATCTGTTTTTTTCCCTCATTAAATCTCAAGATACTCAACTTTTCTTCGTCTTCTTCTTCTTCGTTCTTCTAGTTCTGCTTCTGTTCTGTCTCCGCTCAGCTGAAATCTTACTTACAAGAACAAGATAGCTTTGTCTTTTAGCTCTTTTAGAAGGTAATGAAAGTGAATCTGGTTTTTGTTTTTTGTTTTTTTACCAAAGCTTGTTTCTTCACTTAACTTTTTCAGAGAATCTGGTTTCTTTGAGTGTTCTTTGTGACTGTGACCAATGGTTTCTGTTTGGATACTCTTTGGGTAAAACAAAGACAGAGAAAGTTCAGTTTTTTTTTTTTTCCGACATTTCTTTCAACTTTTAAAAGTCTAAGATTCCCCAGTTTTGTCTGAATCTCTGTTTCTTATTTCTTTGTATCTTTCTTTGTCTTCAGGAAGATAAAAACAGTATACTCTTATGGCTACAATAAACGATATTGGAGTAGCAGCAGCAATCAATATAGTCACAGCATTCGCTTTCTTCATAGCTTTTGCAATATTCAGGATCCAACCAGTAAACGACAGAGTCTATTTCCCTAAATGGTACATCAAGGGCTTAAGAACAAGCTCTATACAAACCGGTGGCTTTGGAAGCAAGTTCATCAATCTAGACTTCAGGTCCTATGTTAGATTCCTTAATTGGATGCCTGAAGCACTTAAAATGCCAGAGCCTGAGCTTGTAGACCACGCAGGTCTAGATTCTGTTGTCTACTTGAGGATCTACTTACTCGGGTATGTATATATATATATATATATATATATATATATATATATATATATATATATATATATATATATATTTATAATCTCCAAAGCTCTTCTCTTTTCTTCTGGTTTTAAGAGTTCTTAATTTCCTTGGTTTTTTTTGATGAAAAACTTGCAGACTCAAGATCTTTTTCCCCATAGCTTGTGTTGCTTTTACAGCAATGGTCCCTGTTAATTGGACAAACAAGGGGTTGGATGGGTTAAAGCACTCGAATATAAGTTACAGTGATATTGATAAACTGTCTTTGTCAAATATACCAAATGGATCACCAAGGTAAGAGAATACTTGTCCAAGTTTGGTGGCTTTTTTTCTTTGTTTCCAATAGTGTGTAATGTTGAATGTAATTGTTTCATTGGTCTTCATGTTTCAGTAGATTTTGGGTGCATTTGTGTATGGCCTATGTAATCACTTTCTGGACATGCTTTATGCTGAAAAGAGAGTACCAGAATATAGCTTTAATGAGGCTACAATTTCTTGCAAATGATGAAAGGAGACCTAACCAGTTCACTGTAAGGATCACCTCTTGAAGTGTTTTGATCTCTGATAGAATCACTCTAGCTCCTTCTTGTAGCTGAAACCTGTTTGATTTTGTGATTTGTTAGGTGCTGGTAAGAAACATTCCTACAGATCCTCATGAATCAATCTGTGAACTTGTTGAGCATTTCTTTAAAGTCAACCATCCAGATCACTACCTCACTTTCCAGGTAAAATCATCATCTTTGGGATTTTGTGGCTTCTAATGTATCAATCTCTGGTTTGGTTTCTGCGTTGACGATTCTTGATCTGTTTTAACTCAGGCAGTCCACGATGCAAGCAAACTCTCTGAACTGGTTCAGACGAGGAAACAAATGCAGAACCTGCTAGATTACAATCTCAACAAACACACAAGAACGCTATCTAAAAGGCCAGTGATAAAGGTAAACAAAACTCACATTTGCATAAGTAAAAGCTGAAGTTTCTCCTTTTGTTGTTTCTCTTTTTAAGACTCACTTTCAAAATCTGCAAGCAGATGGGTTTTCTTGGCTGTTGCGGTGAAGAAGTTGATGGAATCAAGTACTACACATCCATGGTCGAGAGTCTAACAAGAGAAGTAAAACCTTAATCTCAACTACTCTACTCTAAGCCTCATTTGAAACATTTTTAATCAAACTTACTTTAAATGTTACAGATAATTGAGGAGAAAGATAAGTTAAGGACCGGCACAAAGTCCATAGTGCCTGCAGCTTTTGTATCTTTCAAGAGCCGCTGGGGAGCAGCGGTTTGTGCTCAAACTCAACAGTCAAGAGACCCAACGGAATGGCTAACCGAGTGGGCTGCAGAGCCACGTGACATCTACTATGACAATCTTGCATTGCCGTACGTCGACCTTAAGATTAGAAGGATCATTGTAGCCGTCGCTTACTTCTTCCTCACCTTCTTCTTCATGATCCCAATAGCTTTTGTACAGTCACTCGCCAACATCGAAGGGATAGAGAAGGCTTTCCCTTTCTTGAAGCCACTCATAGAAGTGTATGTCTCCAAGAATCTATCAATTTGCTCTCTCCCGTTGATAAGAGAGCCTCTTACGTTTTTTTATGAACAGGAAATTGTTAAAGTCGATCATCCAAGGTTTCCTTCCTGGTATCGCATTGAAGATCTTTCTCATGTTCCTCCCAAGAATATTGATGCAAATGTCCAAGTTCGAAGGTTTTGTCAGCACGTCCTCATTAGAAAGAAGAGCCGCAAGTAGGTTCTACATGTTCCAGTTCATCAACGTTTTCCTCGGAAGCATAGTCACTGGAACTGCGTTTCAACAGCTCAACAAATTCCTTAACCAGTCTGCAAACGAGTATGTCTCTCTAGACCCTCCTCTTGTCTGCGTTTCACCGAGAAGTCAGTCCCATATCTTTCTGACTTTCTTTTCCTGCAGTATTCCAAAGACAATTGGCGTCTCCATTCCTATGAAAGCGACCTTCTTTATAACATACATAATGGTGGATGGATGGGCAGGTGTTGCTGGGGAGATTCTGAGGTTGAAGCCGCTCATAATCTATCACTTAAAGAACTCTTTCCTCGTGAGAACAGAGAAAGATAGAGAAGAAGCAACTGATCCTGGAACCATTGGATTCAACACTGGAGAGCCTCAAATACAACTCTACTTCCTTCTCGGTCTAGTTTACGCAGCAGTCAGCCCCATCCTTCTTCCCTTCATCATCGTCTTCTTCGGTTTGGCTTATGTAGTGTACCGTCATCAGGTGAGATCACTCAATCCTCTGCTTCTTTTTTCCTCCAACGCTCGAGCATGAGCATCGTTAAGTTAACAGTGAAAGCTTCATTTTGCAGGTCATAAATGTGTACAACCAAAAGTATGAGAGTGCAGGGAAGTTCTGGCCTGATGTTCACAGGCGTGTTGTGACCGCACTGATCGTTTCGCAGCTGCTCTTGATGGGTCTTCTAAGCACCAAACAAGCTTCTAAGTCCACTCCTTTGCTTCTTGTGCTTCCGGTGCTGACCATTGGGTTCCACATCCACTGCAAAGGCCGTTACCAACCTGCTTTTGTCACATACCCTCTACAGGTTAGTCAAAGTAACTGAGGATCTCTAGACTCTTTTGGGTGAAACGTGTAAGCTTACCTTTTCGATGTTTCGAGCGAAAGCAGTAACATCTTTGTACCTTTGTCTTACCAGGAAGCCATGATCAAAGATACACTGGAACGCACACGAGAGCCAGACCTAAACCTCAAGGCTTTCTTTAGAAATGCGTACGCCCACCCGGAGTTCAGGGTTGGAGAGAATCTAGAGCTAGAGATGGCCGTGGAGAAGCCTGATAAGTTACCTGAGTTAGTAGCCACTAAGCGTGGCTCATGGAGGAACACTCCTTTGCCTAGCAAACATAACAGCCCTTATTCACCCTGATGCTTCCTCTGTTCTCCACCTTTAACAGTGATTCTTTCATGTTCTATGTACATAGGAACGATTGTATTGATTGCAACGAAAAAGAAAAAAAAAAAATACCATTGAGAAAAAAAACCATACAAAGACGTTACAGTTAGAATTGTTATCATATGAAAAGAAAATCAGAATCTTTACATACTTGGAGACTCAACGACTGCTACATGATTTCACTCGAAAACGCTCTTCCCGTAAGTCTTTATAAGAGGCTTTAGAGCTTTACAAGCAAGAAATCGACGCAGTCTGCGTTTGACACCATCTTGCAGGGTGAATTTCCTCTCGAGCATGCTCTTAAGAAGCGGGACTGCATCTTTCACCTTGCTTAACCGAAGGATGCCGTATACAAGAGTGTTGAACAAAACAGGATCAGGCGAATAACCGTTTGGCTCCAACTCGTAGAACAACGCTCTGGCTTCTGATATCATGTCATGTTTGCAGAGAGCGTCGATGATAATGTTGTACGTTACCATATCCGCCACAAGTCCCATGTCCTGGATCTCATCAAAGAGTCTCTTTGCTTCACCCAGTTTCCCATTCTTGATCAGACCATTGATGAGAGCATTGAACTGAAATATATCAGGAGACTGACCACACTTGCTTATTGCATTGAAGATCTCTTGTGCAGTAGCTGAATCTCCAGCTCGGCAAGAAGCGTGTATCAGTGAAGTGTATGTGTAACTGTTTGGCTTCAGACCTTCACGTTTCATGCGTCTTATAAGCTCAATGGCTTCCTCTAGCTTCCCATGCTTAGTATACCCACGGATCATGATATTGTAAGTAATGGTGTCAGGCACCAAACCTTTCTCAGAGATCTCATCAAAGAGTCTCTTTGCATCTTCTGATCTCCCACTCTTCATCAGACCATCGATGAGAGCACTGAACTGGATCACGTTTGCCTTGGAAGCACGACCACTTGCGTCAAAGATCTCTTGAGCAACGTCACAGTTCCCTCCCTGGCTCGCACCGCATATCAGCGTCGTGTATGTATAACTATCCGGCTCCAACCCTTTACATTCCATCTCTCTGAGAAGCTCCATAGCTTCCTCAAGCTCTCCATGCTTGCAATACCCACTTATCATTATAGTGTAAGTGACCACACTAAGCTCAATCTCGCCGCCATTCCTCATCAATTCAAACAACTTCGCCGCGTCTTCAAGCCTGGACCCTGTTGATAAACCGTCCAAGAGCGTGTTATACGTCTGCAAATCCGGCTCCACACCTCGGTTAAGCATCGAGTCATACACAGCAATCGCTTCGTTCAGCTTCTCTGCTTTGCAGAGACGACCAATCAGAGTGTTGTAAGTGCAAACATCCGGTGACACTCCTTTCCTCACCATTTCTTTCATCATCTCTGCAACATCTTCCCACAGTTCTTCTTTGCATAAACCGTTGATCAAAGAGTTGTAAACGAACAGACCAGGAGAGATCTTTCGAGAAACCATCTCATCAACATACTTCCTCGCCTCCTCCAACCTCCCTGAGGTACACAGTCCATGAATAACCATTTCATAAACGTAAACATTCGGCGAAACTCCGTTCGACGTCATTTCCATTAACACTGCGACCGCTTCGTCGATTGATTTGCTTCTAACAAAGGAACTGATTATAGAGCAGTAAGTGGTCACATTCCCTTTGCAATCTGTAGCAAGAATCATCCTCCGATGCAAATCTAGAGCCTTTCTTGTTTCCCCAATCGCACAGAGCTTGCTGATGAGAATCTTGTAGAGTGAAACATCGCTCTTGATCCCTCTCTCAGACATTTCGTCGAACACTTTGAGTGCATTTATTACTTTCGTTTGAGAACACAAACCAATCACCAAGCAATCAGCTGTTACCGAGTCAGGCTCCATTCCTCTCTTCATGACATCACTCAGAACGCAAAACGCGTAATCGATTCTCTCCAATTGGCGAAATGCGTTGATGAGAATGTTCGACGTGCACAAATCAGGGTTTATGCCTTCGTGTTTGATCCTCTTGTACATCGAAATCACTTCGTTGGAGCATTTAAGCTTCATTACCGAACCGAGCAAGTGATTAAAAGTGATAATCAGAGGCAACGGTCTTGTCTCTACGAGTTTGTCGAAGTAAATCAGAGCATCTTCGAGATTTAGTTTTCCGGTTTTGCATTCGCGCCAAACCTTAACTTCAAGCTCGCTGTGTACATTCTGTTTTTGGGTCTTCGGTTGGAAGAGCGAAGACAGTGATGAGAGCGAGCGTGAACAAGATTTGGCTCCGGCGTTCATCGACAACATCGGAAGATAAAAGCGGAAGACCATTTTTTTTATTTGCACCTTTTTGAAGTGGTTTCTTGTGATTATATTCTATTCAGTTACTGTACTTTATTTTCCGATTTAACGTAACGGAGCTGCCGTTGTCATGACCTCTGAGGCTCTGACTTCCGGCGAAACACGAAGAAGATCGCAGCGCTTACTTCTAAGCTTTTTTATTGCAATGTACTGACGATTTTTTTTTTTACTTTGATATTGAATTAACAATTTCAAAAAAAACGAATTAATATGTAAATGGGGTATATAGAGTTTAGATATTTAATAATTAATTTTATAAATTCTTCTCTACTGCGAATTGCATTAAAAAATTACTAAATGAAAATACTATGAAAAACTATATGTAACCAATTTTTTGTAAATGTAAGTTTTGATATTCTCAGCACTATTTTCAGTTTAGCAAATTTCTTGATCTTTAACAAATTTGTTGAAAATTTGAGGAAAGGTTTATAGAAGGTTTATTATCGTGACTAATAGTTTGATGCTGTGATGAAAATGTTTTCTTTTTGTGCTAATTTAATGTGGTAGTTGAAAGTTTTCTTTTAAAGTAACAAATTTAATATAATAATCTCTCAATTCTATATTAGTTGTCATTCTAGAAATATATTTGAATGTGTTTCAACTTTCAGGTTAAAAGACATCTCTAAAACCATAACTAATATCTTTATAAAAAAAAATCATAACTAATACTCCATCAATCACATATTATAAGCAGTTTAGGAGTATGAAACACGAATGTCTAGTCCTAGAAACTAGTAAGGTTCAGCAAAATGAGCTTACTAGTCCTAGAAACTAAAGTTGAAAGGCCACTCCAAGTATACGTATACTCATATCATTGCATGTGCATGTTGAATTTTTTCCATATATATTTCTTTTAACAATTAGTGTGAATTAAATATATTTTTCTAAGAAAAAAAATAAAATAATTGTGATTTAACAGTACTGTTGCTCCGTGATGGAATTAATTAATGATACACAAATATACCAGAAGACAGGGTAATAGGGGGTATCACCTCATTTTGGTGAACGTTTTCTTTTAAGTAACTAAGTTGTACAAAATCGTTAATTTCTATGGGTAAACTTGCTATTCTTCTTCTTTTACTTAAACTATGTTATTTCTATGACTATAATCCTCGCTTTTTCAATACTCTAGTTATCAGTTTTTGGTTATTAGTTATTACCGTAAAACATGCACTTTTGGTTTCATATGAGTTTGAGCATTTCTTTTTAGTCGTCTACTGCCTCTAGTAATGTAGGTGTGGCTCTGAGTCTGTGTACCATAATGCATAGAAATACCGCGAGCTAAATGGCCTAGTGTAACGCCTGAATTAAATCTTATCCTAAGAAACGTTAGAAATCGGATATCAGATCACATGGTGCCTCCTCGACATGCTCAATGATTCAATAATCTCTTTTCTTTTGTGCTCAATAATGCAAAGTCTTGAATGCTGGTATTAGAAAGTTGGCATGACATCGTACATTATTTTTTTGTGGGGGGGACCTCGCTATATTTTTTTGGGGACCGGCTATACCAAAAGATGGACCACATTAGCTGATTTGTAGTTTCATACAACGGAAAAGCACTATTTTACTCATTATATTTCCACTATTTTGCTGATTTGTAGTTTCATACGATGACAATTTTGATCATACAACAAGGTATAGTAAAATAAATCTCGAAATTTAATAATTGTATTGGTCATCTGATTTGTGTTCTTATGGCATGTAGCCTGATATCAGACTTGGTGGTTGTATCTGCAACTTGTGGTGCCAGCGCCTTTGCTTGTGCTGGACATCCGCTCTGTTTTTGTGACGAGATGGGTCTAGTTGTTTAGGGGACGAAAGAGTGGGACTTGAACGACATCTTTTTAGACCAGAGAGGTTAGGCGGTGGAGGAGGGCTATAAGGGTATGGATCACCTGATGGGGTTATTGTAGCAGGGAGCGCTATGATAACCGAGGTAGTGGAATCGGAAGGGGTGGGATTTTTAGGTACAGTAGAGGGAGGGGGTGAGATAGAGGTAGTAGGGGAAGGGTTAGATTGGAGGGTTGGGATTGGGGTTTTAGGGAGATTTAAGGGAGGGGCAGGGTTTGCAATACCGATTTCTAAAGAGGGGCCGACTCCTGCCTTGGAGACATGGATTGGCTTTTTCGAAGGTAGAGGGAGGGCAATGGAATCTTTTTGTGGATCAGCAATGTCTTTCTTTTTTTGATAAACCTGTTGAGGTTTTTCTTTCACTGGACGAAAAGGAGTTTCTCTCGGCATCATAGGAAGCAGCAGGCAGTTCTTCGCTATGTGGCCCAATTCTTGGCAGTGAGAGCATTTCGGAGGAAGCCATGGATAATCTACTTGGACCTCCACAACTTCGCCACTATCTTTCTCAAACTCAACAACCCAAGGGAGTTCTTTTGTAAGATCCACTTCCACTTTAACGTGAGCGAGAGTAAGACTTACTAGATTCTTTGTGAAGTCATCCGTCTCTTTTGGTTCTCCAACCAAACCAGCGACGAGACTAAGTCCTTTTTGATGCCTCAGGTCTAGTGGGACACCGGTCAAGTGAGCCCAAAGTTGGATGGACACTAGAGGCGTATCGACTGAGGCATGAGCAGCCGTCCATTTAGCAGTATGGAACATCGAGTCACCCACATACCAAACTCCTTTTTCAAGGATTTTTGTTCTCAGGTACTCATTCTGAATCCTTACTATCATGGACCTCGTAAGGGGATTGTTGTGAATCTCTAGCCTTCTTCCCTTTCCCCACATGTGGTTCAGTACACTCTGGATTTGACTGTAGGGAGGAGCTCTTCCGTTGAAGTAGCAGACAATAAAATCTTTGTGAATTTCTGCACCTTCTTGGAATACTGCATCAGGGATGAGAATTCTCGGTGTACCTTTTTTTGAGTAAGTGACTGGAGCCAAACGTTTTAAAGACTTGTCAACGAAGACTCTAATTTTTTCGGCTAGTGTTGGATGAGAAGAGTTTGGGTTAGGGTGAGGGATGTCTGATTCAGGCTGAGAGGGTTTTGGAGTTGGGATTGAGACAGGGGGTTTGGTGGTGGGGATTTCAGGTGTGGTTTTAGGGTTTTTTGAGGAGGAGGAGGCCTTATTAGTAAGGATGGGGCTTGTAGTTTTTGGTGGGAGGATAGTGAAGATTTTTTCTTTGGATAGGGTTTTTTGAACAGTACAATCAGATCCAGGAACAGTACCACTAGATCCCGAGTCCGATTGTGGCTGGAGTGAAGGGTTTTCGTTCGCGGCTTGAGTCATCTCGACATCTGCAGGGGCTTTTTGGTTAGTTACGGCTGCCTTGGTAGTGTGATTCTCTGTTGAGGCTTTTGGCTCTAGAACAATAGTTTTCAGCTTCGGATCATCCAAGTTTGATCTAGGGGCTTTCGTAGTTTTGGAGGAGGACTGAGCTTTTGCGACATCAGTAGTTGCGGGTAGAGACTGCCCAGATCCTTGTTCCACTAGCTTCTTATGAGGAGCAGTTTGTGGAGAAGATCTGGATTTTTTCAGGCTAAGAGAAGGGGAAAGGGAGGGAAAATGGGTAGAGTACGATGAATTGGGGTCAGAGGAGTCGGGAGGGATTAAGGGAGGCGGGAGAAGACCATCACCAGCGGTGAGAAGCGGAAGGTTCGGGGTGGAAGCTCGACCATTAGAGAACCAGCGGTTCTGCATTGGCCATTGGGAACCGTGGCAGAGAGAGAACTTTTTAACTTTCACCAATGTCGTTAAAATATGAACTGATGTGGGGACTTTTCATTCTTTCTATTTTGGTCCTCCTAACTTCACCAATGTAAATATAATCCTCTTTCCGATAGTGGATTAAAATGCAAAATTGATGGTTGAAAATATGATTTTCTTAAAGTGTGTTTTTCTAATTTTCTTCTTCCGATAATCCGATGGTCAGCTTTTATTATATACATTAATTAAAAGTCTCAAAATCTTCTTGGACCCGTGACATAACTTACTATTCTAACTATGTGTCCATTTTTATTTCTATCTTAAAGATCATTATATTTTCTTAAATGAATCGTACGAATCATATTGGCGGTAATAGACACATGAAAACAAAACAAAAGCATCTTGTGTATTCTGTTGTATGTGATCGTGTGTTGGTTGAATGTTCACTTCTAGATAAAATAGGATACTATATTGTTGACAATAAAAGAAGAAGATACGGTTTTATTAATCAAAAATAATAAATTAATTCAAGTCTACGCAAATGGAATGGACTAAGCCAACTATAATGCGCGTCCAACCTTAGGGGGCGTTAATTAAGCCATCAGAAAAACGCGTCACATTTATAGCTTTTTTTCATATTTCTAGCTCTCGTATGATTTTTTTTTTTTTTTTTAATTATCTGATTTTACTAGAATTGCTTGTCTCAACACGTTCAATTCTTGTTTCATTCTGTTTTTTTTTTTGCCTCGTGTGGAATGGTTTTATACGTTATAATCTTTTTCTTATTTGTTTAAAGGGCTGTCTTGAATTTAAGAGAATGAACAAGATACAAGAAATTTGCTCTAGATGTGCGAAGTTAAATATATGGTTTCCACAAATATTGTTACTATTCAGTGTGCAATCACTTTTGTTTTTTCTACGTCAATGTTTTATATATGCTTGAAAAACTAGAAACCACAATACTTTTAGGTGTTAATTAACTGGTGCGATGATTTTTTAAAATAAGATACACTAATCAGTTGGTTGTTGTG